GAGATTAGCCCTCGGCATGCTCACACCCCTCCAGCCCTCCTCATCGCCTTGTCGAGCCGCTGATACTTCTCGACATAAGCCTCTTCGTCAAGACCATAGTACGCAATCGCCGTACGTGCGTCGTTCCGAATCCACGGTTGAGGACCCTCAATGCGGCCAAGGTAGTTCACGAATCTGAGACCCGTACGCGGGTCGTCTCGTCGAGGATAGTCGGGCATATTCCTCAGACGGTCGAAGAGGGCCGGTCGCATCGTGTCTTCTTGGAAGGATGCGGGGCAGGCATCAGTCTGCAGACAGGGGTACCCGAGGAGGAGGCGGGGCATGCCCTTGGAGCTGGGGAGGGACCACTGGGTGTCAGCTAAGCCTCAAAACAACGACATGAGTGGGGATGAGGTGGCGAGAGTGTCGGGACGACGAGCCGGAAAGCTCCCCATGGTAGAGAGATGCACTGGCTCGCGTGACTCACCATAAGTTGTCCTGTCCTCTCCGCGTCTCCGACACCCGTGCCCGTCGCGATTCGAGCAGAAGCCACGGTGGCAGCCACAGGCCACGAGAAGCCGTACATCATGCCGCGGTAGAAGAAGGGCCGGTCGAGGTCACGTCCTGTCGTGGTGCCAAAGTACGTCGGTACGCGCCAGTCGCGTGCCCGTAGATCGCGGATCATGTTGGGAAGAAGGGGGAGGGTCTGGTGTCAGCTAACGGAGACAGTGGAGCCGGGGGCACGAGTGGCTAGAATGGTAGATAACTCCGTACGCTGCCGGGTAGCCTAGGGACTCTGGCCAGGTGGCTTGAGCAGGTGGACACATGAGTGTTGGGATAACCGTCCGTGCATTTTGGCGTCGGTGACACCGTGGAGTACTCACCGAGTCGTCCGCCTTCACAACCCAGCGTGCGGACTCCGCCCTGCCCACGGCCGATATCCACTCCGCGGCTACGTCGTGACCGGGGACGCGCAGAACGTCGCCGAACTCGTCCGCTTCGGCGTCAACAGCTCCGCGCTGTTCCACTTCCGTTATCTCATTCCGATTCCTGCTTCTTCGTCCGTCCCGAATACCCGCTATCCGGTCGTCCACTTTCGTTCCGTTGTGTCCGTGGGGTTCCCCGTGCGGGTCTCCGTCGCTCGCGTCGATCTCGAGCAGCGCATTGGGGTGCCCGGGCACGACGAACTTGAGCTCCACGGTTCCAGGCTTTACCCAAGCCGTTGGGCTATATTTCCGGATCACGTCTCTTCTTAGTCGGCCAGCCGGCGTGTCCTCCGAGAAGATGTGCAGTTTCAAGAACGTCGCGGGGTCTTCTGTCGTGCCCTGCCAGCTCGCCGCCAGGAGGCCGGGCACGACGACGGGTAGCGGTGCGCTCTCATGTGTGCTTATTGACAGAGCGGAGATGCGCATAGCCGCTAGTCGGGTCAGGCTTAGCATTGTCGGCACCTGAGAGAGGAGGAGCACAGCGAGGACCGCCGCGCCCAAGAGGACGAGAGGTCGGCGGCGCCGTATATGCAGCCGCGAGAGGGGGGATGGGAGGAAGTCGGGTCGCATGAGTGCAGTGAGGGAGGGGGGAGCGGCGGAGTGGAGTCGGGCTTGAGGTTGGGTTCCGGTCTGGCCTTCGTCGACTGAAGCCGAGAAGAAGCGAGATCGGAACCGGTCGTGCGAAGCGAGTGACGAGGAGCGGGCCAAAAAGTCAGGATCGGTGTGGTCGAACAACGTAGAACAGAGTGCGATTCGAGCGACTGGGTAAAAGATTCTGGCAAGAACGCAAGGGAATGTCTTGTAGAAGAGAACAGATCAAGAAGAGAGAGACAGAGAAGTCAAGAATGATGGAAGTTGGGAAGGGGGGCGCTGATTGCAGGCTGCACACTTGTCGTGAGTTGCAGGTGGAGGTTGACAGGTGGGTTCGCAGATTCTCAATCCAGGCACGGCGCGTCTCATAATAACAACAAATCGTCCAGGTGGGCCATTCACAGAGCTCCATTCGATCCATCCGCCGCCGCCGCCGCATGAGGGCCTATCACGGCCACCGGTGCGTGACGCCGCTGACGCCTCTGACGCCTTGATGCGACTTGCCCTGCATCCAGCATACTGAAGTTTCTTCGTCTCGAGCAATAGTAGCGGCGCAGCGTGCGGCAAGGGAAGTAGCTTGACCCTGGGTCATCAAAAGGTCAGGTGCAAGGGATTGGACAGGGAAGGAACCCAATCCCAAGCGGGCTTCTTTGTATACCCCGCAGGTCCGATCTCAGAACCGAGAGCTAGCACGAGCACGTCCCCTGCTGAAGCGGTGCAGGACGCAGTGCATGTTGGGCGTGTCCAGAAGACAGCAGAAGGGTGGCTGTGTTGCTGGCAACTGGCGATCGCCTCAGCGTATCGACGCGTCGGATTGCATATCGGAGTACGGGGGACAGCACGCCGGGGGGCGGAGCAGCAATTCCCAACCATGTCAGCAAGATGGAGCGCCGTAGTGAGACTAGCTCGATGCCGCCGGTGACAAGCCGCATACCCCAGATCTCCGGTTGGCCTGGTAGCTCGAGGACTATCAGAGTCAGCCGCTTCCGTCATGAACTGATATCGCATTCCACGGTGTGGAGCAGCATGAGACCGCAAACGCCCAGCAGTCTGGAGACAGTTGCGCTTGCTCCCCATTCGTCATTCAGGTGGGATTTTGTGGAGGCAGTTGTACAGCTCACGCGCTTGTGGGGAGCCCCGATTGCAAACAGCGCCTGCGCACGCGACTAGCGACTAGGGCAAGAGCTAGTACGCACGCGCATTGAGCACACGAGCAGCCCACGCCTGCAGTGACCGGCGGCGCCAAAAAGTCACTTACACTGCCATCTGCCTCACGCATCCAAGCTTGTGTTCTTCTATCAACCCCTGTCTCCCTCATCCCGCCGTAAGCATACCGCAGTGCCGCAGAAGATCTGCTGAGTCCATGCCGCGTCGATCTTCTACACACACGTGACTGAACTTTACTGGCATCGCTCTGCGCTTCGAGACACTGCTATACTGCGTCGATCTAATCAACACAGGAATATAAACTCTGCGATGAAGAACAAAGTAGAGTAGTTGCACAGCTCGCACTATCAAGTCAGAGTGCAGTTGCCCTATCCTTCGTCTCCTTCTCCTTCCTTGCACCGTAGAACACTCTGATGGCAGCTTCTGGGCATCGAAGCTAATGCATAGGATTCTTCTCGCTTTTTGCAAGGATTTCGGCTCCGTCATCCGCTAACGATTGCGTGGCACGCCTGATGCTCACCCATTATCTCATGCATAGTCGGTATAGGCATGCATAGTGCTCGTCAGTTCTGCCCACTTGTCTGGGCATACGCTCTCCCCAGGTCCACCGATACGGCTGCCGTTGGCGAACGGCGAGAGTCGACAATTTGTCTCACTCAAAGTGCGGAGATGGGCAACCGCACCATCAAGACTTCGTGCCTCTGCCTGTCAGGCCCAGACTCAACACAGGGCGCTCAGACGCAACTCATGCTCCTCCATAGATTTTGGCTGAACTGTTGACCTGTCAGAGGTTACCCAAACTTCGGCGTCAACAGCGACGGTGGTGGGCCGACGAACCAAGGGCCAGGCAATCACGGAGAAGAAAGACTCTACCGATGCTGAGCTCGCTGCTTGGCGCTGCCTAAGTCCTATCCTTCCATACGTCTGAATCACCCTTGACACGGGCAGCCCCTCATAAGCAGAGGTCTCGAGGGAGGCGTGTCCGAGATTAGCCCTCGCCTCCGTTGCAACTCTCTCGCAACCCCGCAACAATGCGCCCTCGTCCGCCGTACGTCGGACAAGACGTCCGTACACATTTTCTGCACCGGCCTAGATCTTACTCCTATCTGCTCCGAGACAGCTCTGCCTCCGAGACCATGCCGGTCAGCTCCAGATCGAACCTCTTTGAAGTCGCGAATAGCCAACGCTGCTATCTCTGAGCGCTACAGCTGGGACGCATGAGGTCCGACTTCGTTCCTCCATGAGCTCCAGGTTGAGCATGCATGCATTAAACTGTACGGAATAGCCCCTAACATTAAGCCCTGTGAAGGCTGAAAGGTATCCACACAAACTTGTGTGCGAGTGTGGCGGCCCTCCACCCAGCGTGCGTTCCCCTCCCACCGTGGCTCAACACTCATTCCTCGTCCTCAACGCAGACTGCGGAGCATGTCGCACAGCAGATAGCACACTCGCACTGTCGCTCCGTCTGCACTAAAGCTGTGCTGGATGTGTGTGCTCGCCAACGCCGTCGAGGAAGTGGGACAAGGAGGGGGACGTGGAACCTCTTGTTCTTCAACACTTCCTCATTCACCACCTCCCCTCTCACCCCCTTCCTTACCACCCGTCTGCAGTTGCTCACCAGCGACTTTAGTAACTTCCCCTATCTCCAGCATCGACCAGCACCCGACCCGATCTGTCAAGATCGGACTGGGGAGGATCGTTGAGCCCTTCCTGTGTGAGCTTAACAATGTCTGCACATAGCTGACCATCAGCATCCAGCCGGGCGCCCAGAGGTAGCTGTAGTCACACTGTCGGAAGCTAACTGCCAGCGCCGGCGACTTCTCTCTGTCCAGAGGTAAGCTGGATCGGTTGAAGATGAGCTGACAACCAGCGCATCAACACTCTCGGCACTCCCCGTATCGCCTCTCTCCCCATCAGCCGAAGTGTAGAGGCAAGCTGCTACGCCCACACTTCAGCTGACGAACAGTCGAGGTCGCGACCCAGGCTACGAGGTAAGCTCCCTCGTGTCTGCTACTAGCTAACTCGCAGACGCCAGTCACTGCTGTCTCCGTGAAAGGTTAAGCTGTCTGAGGCCTAGGGCTACCGGACCGTCGAGCCGGCTTCGCGAACACCAAGAATGTAGGTAATGCGGTGCAGAGCATTATCTGACAATCAGACGCCACCCTCATCTCTCGGAGCCTTACGTCGACTAGGGAGGGCATCACAAGGTAGCTACTTCGAAGGGACCGCAAGCTGACACCCAGTCCCCCTTCACTGTCAATCGGGAACCCCTCCTCACTCGGCGCAAGTAGAAGACACAGGTAGGCACAGCTGCCTGCGCCTGGACGGTAGCTGACTCCCAGTTGTCGATCATGAGTCGTGAACCGCCCGATTCGAAGCGTAATCGTATCGCTCGCAACCTCTTCGGTCCGCGTCCCTACCACACTCGTGTGCAGACGTCGCAGGGCGGAGGAAACTCCATCTCCAGCAGCAACCAGGGCCCTCAGGCGGGCCCCTCGACTGCCAGCCTTGGAACTCAGCCTGCTACCTCAAACCATGCACCCTCGACTGCATACTCTTTTCCGCCCACTACTGACTACTCGGTTCCACCTGTGACCAACTACACTGCGCCTCGCGCCACCGGCTACTCTGCTCCGCCTGCGACTGTCTACTCCACACCTCCCGCCACGAACAGTACCTCGCAGGCTCTTGCCTTCCACCAGTTCCCCAACACGGTGGCCCAGAGCAACTCGGAGGCGATCCGTACCCAGCACACCTCACAAGTCTCGGCGCTGCAGCAATTTGCGCCACAGCAGCTGTCGCAGTCCGAGATCGAGGAGGCTCTGCAGTTTCCTCTCGGCAACCTGCCACCCCCCTTAACCTGGGGTCAGCAGGGGTACATGTCTCCCGCCCTGGCAGGTTACACCGGAGTGTACGGTAACGAGGTTGAAAGTGGCAACCACGACCGCCAAGTGATCGCTCCGCCTGCTGCCGGCAACACTGGCACTTCGAGCTTCAACGAGCCTACTGTACGCCATGGTGGCAGCCAGGACTTTGGTGCCAACATCAACACCGCGACTGTCCCTGGCTCGAGCACCTATGACGTTCTCGCTGGTGCGAGCGTCTCACAGTACTATCGCACTCTGCCTCCAGCTCAGCAAGTGCCAGCCAACCCTACCCAACCCCAGACCATGCAGCAGCCCTATGGTGGTATTTCGACTGCCGCTCCGCCGACTATCCCCCCGTCTCAGCACACTGTCTCCTCCAACCACACTACGGCGAGCCAGAACAGCCGCGGCCTGAACGACAGGACCAACAGACTTCTTGGTCAGAACTCTCGCTCAACAGTCGACAACGCTTCACAGTCAGCAACTTTCCCGCCCTGGTTGCTTGCGCCTGATCTCGGACCGCGCGACGTTACCACCGGAGAGTTCGAGCAGTTCAGGCGTAATGTGGCCGGTGCACCCATGGAGCGACCCGCGCACCGTGGTCTCCTCAACTCTTTCCCGATGGTGCGCTCCAACGAGGCACCCTCCGCTTCGTTCAACACGCACCTCGTGCAGACTCAAGGCCCAAGCAACCCCATGGTGCCACCCCCGTCTGCGTCCGCCCCGCTCTCGGGTCCGCTGGACGAGGTCACAACCTCGAACACCCAGCAGTTCCAGGCTGTCGATCCCTCCTCGACGCCTCTCGGCGGCACTGCCGGCAGTCAAGACGAGTGTCCGCTGAGCATGGCTGTTCTCCTCGCGGGGGCTCTTCAGACGCAGAACCAACAGGTGCTTCATCCCTCTCAGACTTCCCAGGCTCCCCAGCCTCAGTGGCAGTCGCAGATCCCTGCCGAACACGGCAGCCGCAACCTTCCCACCGAGTCTTCGCAATCCCATCCCATGAATCAGGTGCGCCAGAGCCAGCCTCTCAGCCTGGGTTACAATCATGCGGCCCATCCGTCTGCGCCGGCCCAGCCGTGGACCCTCCACCCCGGTTACGGTCAGCCTGTACCCGAAGCAGGCGTTTCGGGACCCAGCACCAGCGCGGCAACGACGGACACGACGATGGCCTTTCTGGGGCAAGCGGCCACCGACACGAGCATGACGGACGACCACAACGACACCACCATGTCGCCTGGCCAAGAGTACGAGAACAACGAAACCAGCGACTCAACCCTCACTGATTTTGAGCTCGTGCCGTCGCCTGAGCCAGAGCCCGAGCCTGCCCGTACTCCCACTCCCCCGCCCAGGGTCGACGAGGCGCAGTTCGCCGCCGATCTTCGCAACGGAACCGTGAATCCGGCCCGTCTTCGAGGCGGCTTCGCTCTCCCCGGCTTCCAGCCTCCGCCTGGTGGAACCGAGCGCCTCAACAGGCTACGCCGCACGTTCCAGGGGCAGCTGATGAAGAGCGCAGCGAACGGCCAGACTGGCCAGGGCTCCTCCACCCAGGGCTCGTCTACCCTGGGCCCATCAACCCAGGGCTCATCCACCATGGGCTCTACCATCAACGGCGCCCAAGTCAACGCGGACTACGCCAACAGCACGCTTCAGGAGTGGGCGAACAGGCTGCAAGTGGGACGTATTCAAGAGGAGAACGCGGCTCTCGGCGCCGCACTCGTCGCGCAGGCCGAGGGCAACAGTTCGACCGGCGGGTCATGGACGTGGGCTGTGCAGTCAGAGGCTCCGTACCTCACGCTCAAAACGTTCCAACCGAACAAGAACGCCCCTCGTTCTAGCACTGGGGGCAAGACACCCCGCACCGCCGAGCCTAGAACCTCTGTTATGGGAACCTCTGCCGCTGCCTCTCGCACGCAGGACAATGGCGACAACGGCACGAGCAGTGCGAGCGGTGCGAGTGAATCCAGTACTGCCACTTCGAGCGAGGTCGTCACCCCTCCCGAGCCCGACACGAACAACAACCCGCCTTCGCCGGGCTCTAGCGTGGATGCAGAGGGCTCAACCGATGAAGAGTGCGAGGCCGGCCACATCGGCCACAATTTTCGTTCCTTTCGAGCCGAAATTGTGAATTCCGCCACTCCCTTCCCGTCCGCTAGCGCTCTGAAGCAGGGGCAGAAGAGCGAACGCAAGCGCGAGCACAAGCAGATCGAAATGACTTACGAGGATTTCCTTGACCTCGCGAAGGCTGTCAAGGACTCAAACCTTCCAACCATGACCACCAATAGCGAGCTGGGGACCACCCGCGACAAGGTAAGGCCACAAGGACGGGTCATCGCTGACAATAGACGCGCGTTCCACTGGCCGCGCTGGGGCAGCGCCTCCGTACCGCCCTCGGAGTGACTGAGCCCATGGTTCACGTGGAGTGGCTTTTTGCTGGCGGTGTATGCGGTATCCGGGTCGTCCAGCCTCCGTCTCGCGCTGCACGTCCGGACCGCCCCACTCTGCGCGTCAACGCCGACAGGCGGCCCCGCCACATGTCCGAGCGCGCATACGAGATGGCCACGGCAGCCTACGTCGAGACGTCGCCGCAGCTCCAGCCCGTCGGCCCAGCGCCGGAGTTCACCATCACTCAGCGCCGCCTCCCCCGTCTCGCTACGCAGGTTAGGCCGCAGCTGGCGCAGATGCCAGCCGACAAGTGGCCGGCGCCCCAAGTGCCCGCGCAGCAGCCCCAGCAGCGGGAGACGCAGCGCAGACGCCAGCCGTCTTCGTCGCTGGATGAACAGGCTCAGAGGGTTTTGGAGGCTATCATTCAAGACCGGAACCTCGGCCGGGTCCAGGAGCCGGGGTCCGGTAGCAGCAGCAACATTGCGGACCGCTTGCAGAACCTCAACCTCGGTCAGGCGAGCCGCGAAGGGTACATGCCATGGCATCAGGGCCTGGCTAGGCTGCCCGTTCCTCGCCCTCGGGGCAGCACTCATCAGCAAGCCGAATCTCTCCCGGCTGGACTCCAGCGCCTGCTCAACGACCTGTTCCCGCCCTCGCCAACCGCGGCGTACCCGACCCCGCCTCCGGCCTATCAAAATGAAGACACGCCGTCCGGCTCTCTCCACAACCAGCACAACCAGCTCGCTGCGCACCTCCACCGCCAGTCCCCGCCAGGCTACCACGCTGGTCTGCATATGCCTATCCGCGCGCCGAATCCCGTCCGCCCGCCTATGATGAGGTTCCGCCCTCCGACCCAGGCGCAGCTCGGCCCCTACCGTCCCCCCGCTGGGTACTATGGCTGGGCGAACGCCGGTCCGCTGCCTGGAGTGCCGGGAGCCCCTGCGGAATGGCGTCCCTTGCCCACTCCGTCTGTCAACAGGCGTCCTCCGCCCCCCGCCTTTGGCCCTCAGTATCAGGCCCGCCCCCAGCCTACCGTGGGGCAGCGTCCTCACATCCCAGGACAGAACTATCGTCCTCAGCGTCCGTCTGTCCGTCCCCCGCCTCGTCCCGAGGCTCCCATCTCGCCTCTGGCACTTCCTGCTCCGGCTGGTCCAACCTTGCCTGAACAGGCATCTGCTCGTCCAGCCGCTACGCCGCCTGCATACGCCACCGCGCCGACGACGCTGCACCATCCCCGTCCGCTCCACCACCTCCGTCCGAGCCTGCACTTGAACATCGCGCCGTCGTCGCCTCTCGTGCTCCCCCGTCCGAGCCCCAACACCCAGAGGAACAACAGGCTGCACGAGGCCGCGCACCGCGCCTTCAACAACCCGCCCACTCGTCCCGGTCCAGGCGAGGGACACGCCTTCATCAACGGCGCGATCATTCTCAACCGCATCGTTCCCGACCAAGTCCCCGGCGCAGACGTGTTCCCGTACGGTCCTAGGGCCGAGAATGTCGCGGAGCCTGTGCGCGTTCTGCAGCTCGATGGCGACCAGGGTACCTTTGAGCCGAATGGTCTCCGTGTGGATGAGAGGGTGATCAAGCTCAGGGAGGCGGTGGAGAAGGAGTACCGCCGCTTCCGGCGCTGGCTTCGCATCGTCACTCGGCTTGCGAGGAGCCCTCGCGTGTCGGAGCGGGTTATGTGGAGGCTGAGGGTCTACCTTGCTCGAGTGGCCAGGCTGCGCCGCGCCGAGCACGACAAGGCCGACAAGCCCGCCAAGAACGATCACAGCAAGCCCGACAACCTCGACAGCGCAGCCCCGAACGGCGACAGTACCCAGAAGCCCCAGGACCTCAGCAGACCCACCCCCGACCGCAAGGACAAGCCCAAGCAGACCACCAAGTTCAAGGACGGGTTCCGTAACCGCCAGGCTCTCAAGGGCAAGAAGTCGCAGAAGCAGCAGGCGGCGAAGGCGATGCCGACTGGCTCGAAGGCGGCTGAGTCCGAGTCCACGGCGGAGGAGAAGGAGAAGCAGTCGAACGAGAAGCAGGGCGGAGAGCAGAAGGCGAAGTTGGACGACGACAGCCACGGCGACGAGAAGGAGGGTGGGGAGGGTGGTGACGAGCCTCAGCCTTCCGGCTGCACCTCACAGTAAACCTGCACCGAAGGTTCCGCGTTTCCTACACAGAGATACCACTACTCACTTTCCGATCCCTTCTACCGTATCCGCTTCGACTCAGGTTGTTGATATAGTAGCAGAACGTTGTAGCACCTGCGAAATGACAATGCTCGTTCGATTACCTCGAGCATTCACTGACAAAGAATCGACCGTGTTTTCGTCGGACCGCAGAGACCGGCCGAGCTTGCGTCACGGCGTTCTCCAGTCCGCGCATGATCCGACACTGATCCGACGACTGGCAAGCCCCACAGCCATGGAATCCAGGCCCCGCATGCACATGCCTCTTCCTCCCCATCCCTACATCCGGGTCGGCTATCAGCCAACGGAGCCGAGGGAGCCGACGCCCTCTCCAGGTTGTACGACTCCGATCCCTCCGATCTCGATCTGCAAGATAACGAACCCCGCATTCCGCCGTCCTTGTGCCGACACGAGACTGGGAAGGTACCTCCATACCTGCCGCTCGCACCTGCGCTATGCTATCTTGAGCGTCCAGCGCTTTGAGCACGCCATGCTGAGTGGGCTACGTCAGACATGAGAAGAGAACAATGAGTACAGCGTCACGTGCGTGGACAAGCTTCAGACAGAATCCAGCGGTCCGTGCACCCCCACACCTTGGCGTCGTGCTTCTCCTCCGCCGACAATTGAAGACTGCCCCGCACACCCCACAGGTCATTCTTTTTTTGTTTGGCCAGTGTACGAAATGCCCGTGCGTCGGTGTGCATCGGTGCCCGCCGTCTGTGGGGAACCAGAGAGGACCAGCAAAGGCCTTGCGGGGAACGTACGGGGGACGACCGGCGAGCGTCGCGTGCCTTGTGTACCGGCCTCACCAGTAACACACGCACCTGCGTGCGTGCGGGGTAAGGCTGAGGATTCTTCGGCGCATCGGACTCTCACCCCGCTGTCTGTGTCTCCATGTCCACCGTGCACCTCGCACTCGTGTACCTCGCTCGTTTATAAGGATGGCTCGACGCTGACGTCTGGTCTTTTCTCACTCACTCACCTCTCGCTGCTGAAACTTGACCACCAGTTCGCCTTGTGCTCAACTCTTTGTCTGTGTCATCTAGACATTGCTACCACAATCGACGAAGCTTCGCTTACCTGACGCTTCATCTCCTCCACTCAAAGCCTAGCTGCACTCTCACCGCAGCTTCTCTCAAACTCGCCTCCAGCCGCTCCCCCCCCGTCACCATAACCGTCCTCAGGATGTCTCCGACTCACGCTCTTCCCCACCATGGCATGCACGGCCACGGCCACGCTCACCACCGCGAGCACCTGATGCACGACACGCTGCACCGGATCCACCACCACCAGGCCAAGCTGGCGAAGCACCACGCCCGCCTCGCGTCGCTTCTGCACGCAGTCGAGACACAGATCAAGACTGGCCAACTCGACCCGGGCACGGCGCGCGTGGCCATGCTCCAACTCGAGAACTATGTCGAGCTTGTCGAGCTGGCACTGGACCGAGTCCGTCAACAGGGAGAGACTATCCTGGGCTTGGTGAGCTAGCCGGAGGAGATGCAGCTGACACGACAGGCAAAGCTCTAAGGCACCCCTCGAACAACAACAGCAGCAAGAGACCCCGATCCCCTGCCCCCTGAGGGCAATGTGTATTCCGAGAGTGTATCCCACTTGATTGTATTCCTATGCACGGCATGCGTATAACAGCTCCACACTCACGTCTTTCTCACTTCATTCCACTCACCAAGTCCAGCATGAGACGACTTTTCGCCCTCGAGCGCTTCGACCCAAACGACGGCCAGGACATCCCACCCTACCTGATGCCGCTACACGAAGCCTTTCGCGTGCTTCCGCTGACGGTGCTGGGCATCTTGCTTCTGGTGGCCAGCTTGGGCGTGCTCGGCATCGTGCAGTGTGTCATGAGCTGTGGTCGGCGATAGCTTCAGCCTCAGCCAGAAGACATGACAGCGTATGACTCCTCCGGCCCAGGAACTGTAGGGACTGCAGGAACGAGCCCGAGCCGCCGGAAATGGCATTCAACAGCGGGCAAACGCTAGCCAGGTGGCATGGCGCCGGCTCATTTCGCTTCTCAAGATCCGTCAACAAACAAAGTAGACACCTGATGCATTCCGTGCTCATCATTTCCCCAGCCCGATGCACTAATCTATCAGTGCGCTCGCACGCACGCACAGCTACCCACCAGCCATCCGCTGCGCACCACGGTAGCGTGCGGTGGCAAACCCGGTGGACAGGTAAAGTGGAGGTCCAAGCGGAGCCCCGCACGGACTCTAGGGCTTCCTGCACCAACGCGCGCGCCTGAGCTTAGGTGTGCTGCCAAAAGAAATCAAAACAACACACCCCGGTCACCTGAACACCTTCCTCAGATTTCTTGTCCGATTCTCATTTCTCCACTCTCTCTCCCATCTCGCATCCAGTTTATTGAGAGACGACATCATGCCGCCTCACCCCCCACGAAGCCCGAGGACACCGAGACGCGTGAGTGCATGCTTCCCATTCATCGGGACGCCACCTGTCACGCTCCCTTGTTGGAGCCGGGGGGCTGTGGATGCTCGCCTGGGTGCAGGCGTTGAGCATCCCGGCGAGGAGAGATAATCAAGCTGTCTATGAGAACAGAGCTGACCCGCAGACGGCGGCGAACCCGTACGCTCGCCCGCGCACGCCGCGCACTCCCCGCACACCCCGAACACCAAACACAGCTACCCGTGGGCTCAGCCTGACGTGCCCTCGGAGCCCGAAGCGCAAGCGCCCGATTGCCCACTCGCCCTCTCCGAGAAGAGGCGTCATCGATTTTGTCGCCAGCGCCGCGGCCGAAAAGGAGGCGAAATCTCGGCGCAAGAGCACGGGGTCCCTGACGCCGCAGCTCAAGAAGCAACGGATGTCAGGTGCCGCGGATGCGGAAGTCAAGGTCGAGGCCGAGGCTGAAGAGGAAGGAGATGACGAGGATGGAGAAGGCGAGGAGGAGAAGGAGGACGACGCAGAGGAGACAGACACGAAGGAGGCTACGATGGACGACGATGATGACGACTGCGCCGTGCCGAGCTCCAGCGGACTGCGCACCCCCGCCCCGCCGGGGCACGGCGGGCACGGCGAGCCCTTCGTCCCCGAGCCTCTCACGCCGATGCCGCCCTCTTCCGTGCGCGCGAACCGCCGGTCCCCCGGTCCTCCACCAAGCAGCACGCGCGTGCTCCGTTCCTCGCGCGCCTTATCTTTACTGTCGACTCTCGAAGCGCAGGTCGCGGGTCTGAAGCGACAACTCCTCGCCAGCGGGGCTGAGAACAGCGCCCTCGCCGAGCGTGCAGCGCAGGCGGACGAGCTCGCACGACAGCTCGAGGAAGAGCGCGCCAAGTCGGCCCGCGTCGAGCAGCTCGAGGCCGAACTCGCGGCCGAGAAGGCGCGGAACGAGGAGATGGAGCGCGAAATGGCCGGCGTGCAGCGGGATCACGACGTGCTCGCTCGCAGAGTCCTGAATCTCGAAGCTGGGTACGTTTGCAAATGCCAGGGCGAAGTTGCGGGCATGAAACTCGACCTCGCGCGCATCCTCGCTGCCAGCGCGAAGGAGAGGTGGAGCGAGCGTAGTGAGCGCCGGGCTACCATGGGAATTGGATCCGGTTCGGAGGAGGAGTGAGCGGCCACGCTCATGAACGGCAGGAAAGATTAGATTGCGACGACGTTGTTCACCGACCGGAGAGTCATGAATCCACTCAAAAGTGGGGCATGCTGTGCCTTGTGGTCACCTGCGGACACGGCCATGTCGAGGAACAAGCAGCGGAGGAACGGAGGAACGAGGCACGGCGGCGGCAGAGGAGGGTTGAGGGGTGGCGGCGAGGAGGAGAAGTAGGAGACAACAGGCGGAGGAAGCATCATCAGAAACAGCAGCAGCACAGCCTTAGTGCGGTAGACCTTTTTTCATACTTCTTGTACATTGTCCCATGCTCCAGTAGGCGGAATGAGGGTTCCAACTCGATTGAATTGTATCATAGCCCCGAGTCCTGTCTTGACCTGTCTTGTCCTGCCAAAGTCCTTAGTCTGGGAATACGACGTTACGGCATTGTCGTCTTGTCTGGTGTGACGACATGCTTGCTTCGCCTGAGTCGCCGACATCCCACCGACATCCGGTCCCACCGGTTGCCGAGCACATCCACAGGGCATTGTGCGTTTCACCAGCTCATCTCTGCCGTCGCCGTGCCGTAGCTGCCGTCACTGGGACCTGACGAGACAGGACCTGGACTCTCGAGTGGACACTTTGTCCATGCGTTTGTGTTGCAAGAGGGGCATTGCTCCGTCGAACGAGCAAACGAGTGAGCACCCCCGTTATTGTTTGCAATGCATGAGTCAACGAGGTGAGGTCGCCACTTGCGTCCTCAACATCAGCGAAGCGATCCTCGCCATCCATCCCGGCGAGGAGCACGAGCACCTCTTCGAACTCCCCATACCGATCGAGCACCACATTCCGACGCTCAGCAACAAAGTTCTCGGTGCCGAGACCGACGTCACTCCCAACCACCACCTAGTGGACCGGTACGCCGACTGCAGCACCCTGCGCCCCAACAAAAACAGCTCCACCGCCATCAGTCCCCCAAATGCTGCGAACGAGGACGAAGCGGCCGTTCCGGCGCGGCTCTGTGCCAACTGTAGCGCCGCCAACATCGGGCGCCGTCGCCGAGCGGGCGCTGACCCAATCCCCCGCCGCGCCGCCAGCACCGCCCTCCCCTCCCTTATCCCCATCACCGAAACCCTCCCCCCGCTCCCCACTAAGTTGTTTAAACATCTACGAGTCGCGGATCCAGACCCTCGAGCGCCTCCTGAAAGTCACCGAGACGGACCTCCTGACGGCAGAAGAGGAGCGGGACTGTCTCCTCACCCAGCTGGCCGAGTCTCAGGCGCACGCAGCCGCGCTGCAGAGGGACGTCCTCTCCCTCCAGCTCCTTAGGAATGAGCTGGTGCTGCAGCGGCTAGACGCACGAGACGCGGCTGACCGAGAGGTTCTCGAGGAAGAGCTGGGACGGCGGGAAAGAGTCCTGCGGAAGGTGAGGGAGGAGAACCGGCTCCTGAATCGGGAGAATGAGCGGTTAAGGGTCGAGCTGGGCGTCGAGGATCGCGGCAAGAGGAGGGAGGTCAGGGGCCGCCTCCTTTCGAAGGCATCGAGGGAGGCGCTGCGTAAGGCGTCGAGGGAGGCTCTCCGACAACTCGGCACCGTGACGCCGGCATCAGCGACGACGGAAGCGCCAGAATCGACAGAGGCAGGCAGCGAGAGCACGCCGCGAGAGGGGACAAGTCGGAACTCGCTCCAGCTCTGGGTCCAGGCGTATGGCCCCTTGGTCGACCATCCCGACTATCGCGCCGCGGCTGGGAAGGAGTCGCGACCGGAAACACCGAGTACGCCAACGACGCCCAAGACGCCCTCGTCCCCGACGCCAACGCCGACGCTCCGCGCCACAACCCCGCGCCTGCCTACGCCGACACTGCGACCTGCGCGATCGACATTCGGCCGCGCCCCCGGCTCCTTCAGACTGAGGAGCGGGAGCGAGACACCGCCCCCCGTCCCGCCCGTCCCGCCGCTGGCGGCGCTGCTGAACGGCGCCGCGCCCATCATCACGCCGCCCGAGACGAGCGGCGACGATCTCCCCTCCCATCTGGACGACGAGGACGTCGTGAATCTGAACAGTCCCGGGTCTGAGACCGCCAACCCCGTCGACGCCCCTGACGCCCCCGACGCCGCCGCGTCTCAGAGCGACTCTGGATCCTCAGCGAGGAGCAACCAGTCCGTGCACCACCGGGACCTGGACGGTGTCCGCCGCCCGAGCGCCGATCGCGTGTCGGTCCGCAGCGCAGTGTCGGACTTGAGCACGGCGTTCTTCTCCTCGACTTCTCAGCCGCCATCGGAGGCGAACGACTCCGCACGGCCGAGTATAGAGAGTGTGAGGAGTATGGCGAGTGCGGGGAGTTCGGGCAGCGCGGGGAGTGGTAGTGGAAGTACAGGAAGTGGGAGTGGGGAGAGCGGGACTGCCGAGCTGGTTGTCCGACGGCCGGTGGAGCTCACCCTCGCCACGGCGGAGTTGAGTCTGCCGCGCACTGCTGTGAGGGAGGTCAGAAGGCAGGAGGAACAGCAGCTCGACTGGCCGGCTTGGACTGCACCCCGGGTCTTGCGTCCTCCGCCGCGACCGAGAAGGACTAGGGCGAGACGTGAGACCCTCACGCCCGTCACTGAGGCGAGTAGCCCCGAGACCGCGACGCCGAGCGTGATGCCTGCGCAGCTTGTGCCGGATGTCGAGCAGCCTGAGCTCGTCACTGGGAGCGGAAGCAGCGCGTCCACTGTGGAGAAGGAGAAGCGCGAGGAGGTTGAACCGGTGCAGAAGCTCGACTGGCCCGCTTGGTCGGCTACCTCTCTGACGAGCACGAACTCGGCGCACTGGGACAGCTCGAGCTCTCACTTTGCTGATGTTGAGAGCGCGAACGATCACGACACGGCGCCCGCCGAGGGCGAGACCGAGGTCGATTTCAGTCTCATCGATCCTAGCCATATTGCCCTCATTGAGGTTTCGTCGGATGCCGGGCACTGAGGGTGGATAATGAAAGAGCTACCTAATGATGCATGTACAATGCCCGCTACAACACCTAATGTCTTTATGTACAACTGAAATGAAAGTGGGATTTACAACTTGATCGAGTCGTTGATTTCGCTTCTCGTAAAGATCGTGCCGTCGTCTACGTTCGTGCTCTCGTCTACTCCTCTCTGCGCGTCAACTATGTCCTTTACTGTTCGTGTGACTGTTCTGAAGCTCCACGATGCACATGAGAGCTGTCCGGCTCCCTGCGCCGGTCGCTCGCTCATCAAACCAACCTCATCATACTCCTCCAAGTCGCCTCGAGCTCATCGAGCTGTTCCGCCGTCTCAAACCGCAGCTCGAGGTATGCGTCGACTGCCTCCGCCGCCAGTTCCTTGTATCCCAACTTCCTGCCCGGCTTCCCTCCATGTCCAACCACGGTTTCCTCAAGCCCATACCCAGGGACCAGGTCTTGGGCAAAGTACCAATCCTCCTCCGCCTGCACGAGTGCTTCGACGAGCCACCCGAGCCCCTCGTCCCAGCGGTCGATGACGTCGAGCGAGAGTTCGACATATTCGTGCGTTACGGTGCGTCTGTTCCCGGCCCGCTTCGAGGCACCTTCGGAATGCACGGTCCACAGCTCGCGGAGCGCGAGCAGCGAGGACTGGATCCGGGTGCGTTCGCGGCTGATGAAGGAGCGCACTGTCGGCGTCACGGGGGATGGGTCGCAGTGATCGTGTCTGTAGGACTCGGGTTCGGCGTAGTAGTGTTTCTGATCGGCGGGGTAGGCCTTGTAGTGATCGGCGGGAGTCTGGCCGGGGGTGCACGGTGTGGAGGCGTAAGCTGGCGAGGAAGGACGGGTGTTCGGACGCGTATTCGGACGAGTGCCCGACCGCGACACGGGGCGTGATGCCGGCGAACAACTGCGTGAGGAAGAGGGATACACGCTACTAGTCGTCGAGATAGAGAGCGGCGAGGGGGCGCGGGTGTCGAGCCTTCCAACAGGCGCGGAACGGAACCAGGCCTTGGCCACTGCGTTGGTGCGGGGCATGGGCGAGGGCGTCGGTGGAGATGGAGGTTCTCGAGGTGGTGGTACCACATTGTTATAAGTTGCGGGGCGATGTCGAACGAAGTGGTAGATTGTCCATCAGTGTGGACCAGTGTTGACCACTTGACCTAGCGGTCCCCAGTGGTCGACGGCGGCGGCACAATGGTGAGACATGGCGAGAAGCACGACGATGCGCAAGGGTCGATGGATGATCCTGCCGGCCGGGCGCGCGGGTGGAGGCGTGATGGGGTGACCAGCCATTGTGCAGGGACCCCCCTACTGCCCCCTACTGGTCGGCGCCTGGTCTACCTGAGCTGCATGGGCGGTCAGTCACGCATTGCGGAGAGGTTAGCAGCATCGCGGTGACATGATATGATCGGTCGAAGACGCTTTCGACGCTTCGGTCGGTCCGAGCGCCATTCGACCCAGAGATGACCGGTAACAATCGGATCGCTGGTCATTTCGCGTCAACCGTCAATCAATAGACGTCGCTGTCCACTCCAGTGCTCTCAGCACCGCATGCACAATGCACACCGTTGTCCAGCTCGGTATGCATGCATAGCATCGGCCAGTGTGCTCTTGTCAGCATGTCGTCAGCCTGGTGGACGCATATATGAGCAGCCGATGAAGTTGCGCGATGTGGCCAACGCCACCGACCCGAGAACATGCCGCCGACCCTCGTCGAGCGGCGGCGAGCGACGCCATACGACAGACCAAAGCAACAACGACACCACCGACGAACAAACAGCCAGTCGCAAACGCACAGGCGCACGCCCTCGGATCCTGCTCTGGTTTTCGGGGCCGCCCAACGTTTTGAGGCACAAGCCACGGGCCCGAGAGAGATCGACCACTGTCACTGGGAGTCTCTGGCTGAGCTCAGGCTGAAAACTTTCTATGCTCAGCTACCTGTCGCTGAGGACCCGGAAACGCCAAGTGTCTACCTTGCCAACTTGGAGGCGAAGGACAAGATCCTCGATGCGCTCAGCCTCAATCGGGGACTGAAGCGCACTTTGTCGCTCGCCTCTTCGACGGAAAACGGAGAGGAGGGCACGCAAGTTGAGGACCACAGTGAGCTCGATGTGCCATTCGTGGCGTCCCCAACCGGCCTTGAGGCTGAGCAGCCAACAATTGTCCAGGCAGTGCCGTGCATTCAACAGCCGCCAAGGCCAACTGCACTTTCCGTGCCAGCATGGTTTCGGCCGCAGAGCCCATTATCGCCACAGAGTTCAAACAGCCCTACGACACCGCCGCCACTTCTCATCCAGAGCTTGGCTGGCAGCCCCGAGTCCATGATGCAGCCTGAGCAGTTTGATGGTGAAGACAATTCCGAAGACGCCGAGGCTGGTCAGCATCCTGAAGAGCATGCAGAGGAAGAAGACGAGGACGCCGAAGGGGAGACCGACGATGAAGCCCGTGATGAAGGCGAGACTGGAGCTGAGCAATCGTGGGGCTACCACTTGCAGTGCACGCACACTTCTGCTTCGGCGCATCTCCGGCAACTCCTGTCCGCCCGACACCGCATCAGGACGATCTATGGCCCCTCATCCGCCTTTGAACAGCTCGATATCGTGTCCACCACGCCCGTTGACCCCCGTCGCGACTATCGTGTCACCCCAACCCTGCCTCCAACGCTGGCGGAGACTTACGTCCAGCTCCGGCGCATGCTGCAGCGGCCCTTCCCAAACAGATCGCACTTCAAAACCAGAATCCAGCACACTCTCGCTCTCAAAACAGCACTTCCTAAGCTGCAATCAGTGTGTAGCAACTGCGCGGAGTTAGAGCCGGAGTTGGCAGTGACCCTGGCGCTGCTGGATGCGCGAATTCGCGATCAGTCTCAGCGGCTTAGGATAGCCTACGCGCAGGTTGTGTGCGGGGCCAACAGTGACCGGGTTGTATGGGCTGAGAGCCGCGGAGAGATTCCCCCAACGCCTCCAATCTCCATGGAAGCTGGGCCAAGTAAGAAGAGGAGGAAGACGACGACGAAGAGGGACGAGGACGAGCAGCCCAAAGCCCAAGCTCAAGGGGGACACAAGGGCAAGTGGCACCTGAGCGACTTTGCACCCCAGTCACCCCCGGAGCCGCAGGTGCCACCGCAGAACAAGAACGCTCGCGACGCAGCTGCTGCGACACAACGTGCCATGGAATTGGGGGCGAACACACCAGCTTCTGCTTCTGCATCCGTCACACAGCAGCATGCACAGCGCGCACAGGCGCAGACCCAGGCGCAGCCGCCGATCACCGCCCCCGCCCCTTTAGCTATCTCTATTGTGCCCTCCACCGTCATTGTCCCCACCACCATGGACAACAACAGCAACAAACCCATCAGCGCATACCGGAAACGCAAGGCTCGCAAGCTCCAGAAGCAAAAGGAGGAAGAAGAGGAAGAACGTCTCCGCATCTCTCTCGAACGCACTCAGCGCGAGCGAGAACTGCACGGCATGTCGGTGCCGCCTATATCATCTGGACAGCCGACATCCAACCTTCCACCTTCGACCTCTCAGGCTTCGATGACGCAACAGCAGCCCCAGCTTCCAGCAGCAAGCCAAGCCCGCCTTGCCGCCTTCGAGGCCAGGATTATGAGTGCCGGCCCGCCGGCCAATACTGAGGCAGAACACTTAGTTCGGGCCCAGCTCGAGCGCATGCGCAACTCGGCCTCGGCATCTACCCCGCGTGCTGGTGCCACCTCAATGACAGAACCGCATCAAGATTTGTCCCAGTCTCACGCTACCCAGAGAGCCCGGATGCAGCAAGTCCTGGCTCGGCAGGCTCAGGCCCAGCAACAGGTCGAGCAGCTGGCCCAGCTTGCACAGCTGCCTCAGGCCCAGGTGGCCACGTCACAGACACACACACCGCCGTCCCAGCCTCCCCAGGTCACCTCGGCCATGATCCAGCAAGCGGTGCAGCAGATCCGGCAGACACACATGCAGCAAGCACAACAGCCCACGCAGCCCACGCAGCAGGCGCAACAGCAGTCAAGGCGCGAGCTCGGTCTCGGACGGCCAGTGAAGCGGCGCCGCTTCGAAACGACCGACAGCGCGAGGGAGGTCAACCAGCTTCTCGACCCTTCCATGGGTTCGGTCAATGCCGTGGAATCACAGCTGCAGCCGTCCTTCGCGACTCAGGCGAGCTTCACGACCCAGCCCAGCTTTGCGAGCACGGCGCCGAGCGAGGCGCAGAGGAGTCAGGTGGAGCAGATGCTCCAGTATGCCCAGCAGCCGTACCAACAGCAGCTGCGTCCTCTCGACCCGCTCGGTAGCTCGATAACGCCCCAAGGGGGTAGCGGATGGGGCGGGTCTGTTCGCCAGTCTCAACAGCCAGCTCAACAGGCTCAGCAGTCCCAGAGTGGCTTTTCAGGCTTCACGAGCCAGCAGCCAGCCCGCGTGGCTCCTCCTCGATCCGCTCAGTTGTCCGAATACGACAAACTGACCGAGGAGCAGCTCAAGAATCGTCTCCGCCAGCAGATCCTCCGTGGAGAACCTAGCGATTACCTGCCCCTCGCGCAGCTCTTGGGGCAACAGCAGGCGCCGACGCCTCCGATGCACCACCCGACGCCGTCATATCCGGCCACGGCCGCTGGGCCCTCGAATACGCCGGGACTCATCCCGACCCCGATGCCGAGTAGCCGTCACCCGACGCCGGGCAGTGGACATCCCACGCCCAGTGCTCAGCACCTCACCCCAAGCAACAACCTGACCCCCGGCTCGGGAGCTGGCTATCCCGGCAGTCGACAGATGACTCCCACACAGCTTCAGCGCAGTCCTCAGCCAAACCGGCAGCTCAGTCAGCAGCTCACCCCCGCCCACCCCCTGCAGCCCAGTCCTCAACCAAGCCAGCAGTTCAGCCAGCAGCCAACAGGCGGGAAGACCCATCCGTTCATCGACTGGGTCCGCGGTCTGGAGAAGACAGAAGAGCGGGTCGAGTTTCTCGACCACTGGAACGAGACCTGGAACAGGCAGTATGCGGAGGAGGAGCGGGTGAGGATGTCCGTTGCTCCTCGGCCTCAGTCTCAGACTCAGCCTCAGCCTCAGCAGCAGCCTCAACTCCCACCTCCGCCGCAGCTGCAGCAGCTGCAACAGACGCAACAACAACAGTTCCAGCCAACGCAGCAGATCCCGCCCCAGCTCGCTCAACCTCAGCCTCAGCCCCCGCTCGCCCAGCAACCTCGGGCCGAGACGCAGCCTACAGAGGTCCGCACGCCGACACTCCAGGAGTTGGACGGCTTACTCGCCTTGCTGAACAGCGTGGCTCCAACCTCCCAAGATGCGGGTCCGCAGGATGCCGTTCAGCAATACGACTTTGGCGCTTTCGGCGGGTCCGACCTCCTCGCGGGCTTCCCTCAGCAGACCGAGCAGTCGCAGCTTCTCCCTGTTCAAGCTCAGCAAACAGCCCAGCGCCAGCCAGTTCCTCAGCAACAGGTCCAGCAGGCTCAGCAGGTCCAGCAGGTCCGGCAGCAGCCGGTTCAGTTCCAGCAGGGTCAGTATCAGCCTCAGCAGGATCAGTACCAGCAGAGTCAGTCACTGCCTCCTCAGCCAACATACGCCTCGTCGCTGGGTCTGCTTCTCCAGCCTCCAAGCACCCCGTCTCAGCCCGTGGCTCAACCTCCTCAACCTCCTCAACCTCAAACTCCTCAGCCTCCTCCAGCGCCTCCAGCGGCTTCAGCGCCTCCAGCTCCCACCGTCCCGGCAACAAACCCAGTCGACGACGAAGCCCCTCGGCTCGTGTACAACCCCGACGGCACGCGCAGCATCATCGCCCACCTCTCAAGTGGCACGCGGCGAGAGCTCCGCTTCCAAGTCGCCCCGGGGCAGAGCGACGCCGACGCGCTCGCCATGGCGCGGTACTGGGTCCAGATCGGGAATGGGCTGAGTACGACGGTCGCGCTCCCTTCTGTCCCCGCCGGTTCGGCTACGACTGGCATGCCGACAGCTAGTGTCTCGGCTGCGCAGAGGGGGAAGAGGAAGCGCGAGGAAGAGGATAAGGAGGAGGAAGAGGATGAGGATGAGGACAGCGAGGAGGAGGATGCAGAGGGGGAGAGTGATGGGGAGAGCGAGGATGCCGAGGGCAGCGATGAGGAGTAGACCCCAGGACCGAGGACCGAGGCAGGCAAGTGGGAACTGTGAACACGTGAAACGAGAACAGTGTATCCTTAGAACAATGGTGTATCGCAAATGTATTCCTAGCCCGCTACTCAGCCATCCCCATCACTCACACTCCCGAGTCGCTCGCGGTGCATGCGAGCTCAACCAGATCACGGAATGTCAGAAGTGAGGGAGAGACTCACGTGTCCACAAACGGAACGACGCAAACCGTACGATCCGCCGATCTCAAATCTCGATCCGGCAAGCAGAAGAATGTTTGTTGTTTATCAACGAGGGATGAATAGAAATTCAGTCGCGTCTCTGGCACTCGTATCTCGCGTCGTGCTTGTCATTTTCGACAAGCGTGTTTTGGACTTGGGCGTTCTCCACTTCTCAGAATGGGAAAAGAACCTCGCAAGCCTCTCAGCTCTCAGGTTTGTATGAAATGGTTTGGGCCGAGAATCTCCAAACATCATGTCACGCACACTCTCGACCTTCCTTGCCAGCTGTTCCCTCGGTGCATCGGTCAATTCTGTGCACGCCGAGCGCCACCAGCAGTGCAAGCATGCAGCCTGGCAGCGCCATGGAGTAAACATTCGCGATGACGACAGCGAATGGAATGCATGGCGGGAGGGATATGTGGGAAGCAGAAAGGGTGCAGGACAGTAGTGAGGGGATTGGGCGTTGAGTTGTTTGGTGTGACTGTGGATGTTGCACCGAGTTGCCGAATTGAGACATGACGGGCAAGGAAGTCAAACGTAATGGGAGGTGCGCGGGTGCGGTGGAGTGTCTCCCTGTGTGAGTGGGCAGACGCAGGTACGCAGACAAGCTGACCGTGTTTATCGCCTGACGTTAGGATGTTTAGGATGACCCAGGGCGGACACATCCAGGCACGTACGCTGGATTGAGGAATCCCACCTCAGAGCGCTCAGGGATGGAGCCAGGCTAGCCAGGGCCAGCCAGCAGGGCTCGAGGATCGCAGGAATGAATTCTCCCACCACCCACCGTACGGTGGACGAGTGCAGACGCCACGCGCCTTCTTTTTCCACACTTGGTACGAAAGCAAAGCAAACATGCACAAACAACAAACACACGGCACTGGCTGGCTGATGGACACATGCTCACTGCACTGCTATGCACGACCACACCGTCATTAACATCCCACATTAGCAGTGGTTGAAGACCGGTGTGACTCTCCTCCCCCCCCCCCTTCTGTTGCAGAACCTTGCACAATGCATGTACACAAGATGGACGCCCAAAACATCGAGGAGACAGCTGACAGGGCCGATTCATGACCTCCGATCACTCGCCATCAATGTTGGTCTCACTCACTCACTACTCCGGGATATATTCTGCTGCTGAAGTGTAGAATGCATGGCGTACAACACAGTATGGAGCAGAATTACTCCCGATGCAGAGAGAGAGAGAGAGAGAGAGATACAAACACGGCAAGCAAGACGAGAAAGGCTGGTCGGTTAGGGTTGCGGCCTATAGGGTTGCGTCGCACCGGCGCACCGGGGCGCCACTGCTGGGCTCTAGTCTCCCTCTCTCTCTACATCCAGGACTCACTACTCTGAGCACCAAACATTCGGTCATCCACCCAATCCAGACCCACCCGCTCCCGCTACCACTACTACTTGCTGCAACTACTCTTACATCTATCCTGCTTCCTCGTCACATCTTCCATCTCTCCACTGTCTCTCTTTCTCTCCTACTCCGTTCTCTCCTTGCTCGAACGCTTACGCCTGTCTCCCATCCCCTCCTGCTTACACCCCCCCTCCCACTAATCAACAACGGTCGCTTTGGCTCTTCCTCGCCCCGCCCACGCTGCCCTTCCCGTTCACGACAAACACTGCAAACAACAACACAAGCCACAGCCCCGCCCTGTTCGAACCAGCTTGAGGTCTCCCCCTAGCCCGACCGTCGTAAACAAGGCAACCACCACTTACCGCCCCCTCCCCAAACACCTCCCCATCACCGACGATGCAGAGGGTAAGATCAACCTCGGCATCACATTCTGACCTAAACAGGCTACCAACACCCGACGAGCGGCCACGCGCTCCAAGACTACCGATGAGAACTCGTTCCCGTCACGAGGCGCCGCTGGCGACCGCATGTCCGCCGCTACTCGCGCCAAGGCGGCCGCGATCACCTCGACCAAGCCGTCACAGCCCGTCAAGGCCGGAAGCAAGCGTAACGTCTTAGGAGCAGTCACCAACATTAGGGTGAGTTGATGCCTTCTTCACATCAAGCACACAACTAACGTACAGGAGGACCACGGAGAAGTTGCCAAGAAGCCTGGTGAGTATCGCATCCATGCTCGGGACCGGCATCGGCCGCCCCACGGACCTTTGTTGGCAGTTGTTTGGATGACGCTAACCCCATTTCAGCCAGGAGTACCGCCCAGCGCCAACCGTTGAGCAACCGCTCTCAGACCTTTGACAACAACCGAGGGACGACCACCACCCGTGCGACCCGTGCTGCCGCTGCTCAGGTCTTTGCGCAGCCTGAACCTGTCGAGGTCGAGGTTGTCTCGCGCGAGACGGCCCGCATCGACCTCCAGAGCAACAATGTCATTGTCGAGGATGAGTACGAGGACGACGAGAAGACGGTCGGAGCGCGCAGCGACGACATGGACGAGGACGAGGATGATGAGTTTGACGACGAGGACTGGCTCCGCATGAGCCCCGAGGAGGAGCTCGCGGCCCGGCAGGAGCTCATGGCCGTGAAGGACACGTTCCAGGACGACATTGACATGTTTGACACGACCATGGTTGCCGAGTACGCCGATGAGATCTTTGCGCACATGGAGGAGATGGAGCTCGCGACAATGCCGAACCCTCGGTACATGGACTTCCAGTCGGAGGTTGAGTGGTGAGTATAGGACGCTTCGGGTTAACCATGAAAATCTGAAACATGGTTCCCCGACCAAACATGAAAAGAAAGCAAGCGCGTGCTAACGATCCACAGGACAATGCGCACGACGCTGGTCGACTGGCTGCTGCAGGTGCACCTCCGCTACCACCTGCTTCCCGAGACGCTCTGGATCGCTGTCAACATTCTTGACCGCTTCCTGTCTGTGCGCGTGGTGTCGACGCAAAAGCTGCAGCTTGTCGGTCTCACTGCTCTGTTTATTGCGGCCAAGTACGAGGAGATTCTTGCACCGAGCGTCGACGAGTTTGTCTACATGGCCGACAACGGGTACACGAAGGACGAGATTCTGAAGGGTGAGCGTATCATTCTGCAGACGCTCGACTTCAACATTTCGGCCTACTGCACGCCGTACTCGTGGGTGCGCCGCATCTCCAAGGCGGACGACTATGACATCCAGACGCGCACGCTGTCCAAGTTCCTGATGGAGGTGACGCTGCTCGACCACCGGTTCCTGCGATGCAAGCCGAGCATGATCGCCGCCGTGGGCATGTACCTGTCGCGCAAGATGCTGGGGTCGGACTGGAACGACGCCTTTGTGTTCTACTCCGAGTTCACCGAGTCGCAGCTCCGGACGGCAGCCGACATGATCTGCGAGCGTCTCGTCGAGGACGGATTCGAGCGCGTGTTCGTCTACGTGAAATACTCGAGCAAGAAATTCCTGCGCGCGTCGGCGTACGCGTGCGACTGGGCCATGACAAACTACCGTCCCGCCGAGTAACATTCTCCTCCAACCTTTTAGCATATACCTCCCCATCGCATCTACCCTCAACTCCACATCCACCCCAAAGTCGCAACCCCCATATTTCCCCTTTTCCTCTTTTATGTGCGCCGGTACCAGGCCCGAGGCCAGGCGGCGCAGTGGTACACCTGTGTCTCTCTCTCTCTCTCCATTACTTCTTATAAAGTATTAGCATTTCATGATGTTTCCATTGTTTTTGTCGAGCCGAGCATGCGACACGAGGCGCGCAGCGCCGAGTGAGCAAGCGGGAGTGGTGAGGTCAGTGATGAGGGCGACCGACTCTGAGTAACGAGTGCATCGACAGAGCTACCGAGACTGCCGGGCCAGCTGCGCAAAGGCGTCTCGATGTCTGACCGAGACCCGAACCCGTGGCCGAACCTGAGGTCTAGCCCGAGAAGCGGAGAGTCGATCCAGCAGTCCATGACTTGTTATCCGATCTCATTGCCTCATCGCTTCGTTCTCAATACGGCTCCATGGTCGGGTCGAGATGGAGAGCTAGGCCAGTCCTAGTCCGGAGAGTATAACCATGCATGAGAGAAGATTACTGTATGAAGGCAAACTTAGATTGATGTGGGTGGGTATAATGCAGGTCGCATGTTGTTTCTAAGACTTAAGCAGTCTGCGCAGGCTGAGACCTCTGAGCAGGCTGGGCGAGCGAGGGGTCGTCCGTGATGAGGCCCGCAGGCTTGGGCTCGTCCGTGATCAAGAGCGGAGCCGGACCGTCCGCGATGAGAGCGGGCTGCGGGCCGTCGGTGAGGTATCCGCCAAACTCGGGTGCGTTCCCTCCTCCATTGACGCCATTGACACCGTTGACGCCGTGGACATTGCCATTGCCTCCGTTGACCATAGTACTGGCAGTGCCGGCAGTGCCAGCCGTGAGCGTGGAGGAAGTGACCGTAGCACTGGGCGTGACGATTCTCGACCGCTTCTTCTCCTTGAAGATATCCTTGAGCACCTCTCTCGCGTCCGTCGGCGCCAATTTCCGCTCGGCACCCTGGCCTCCGTGGCCCGCACTCCCGCCCGGCGTGCCGGTACCATGGATCGTGCTCGGCCTGGAACTGTGGACTGAGCCATGATGCACTGATTTCTGCCGCAATGAGCCCGTGGGATTCGAGCCGAGCGCGTCGCGCAGATCGGCGACGTCGATGCCGCGCTGGATGTGGATGCTCTGATAGCTGGGGTTGGGGATGGACATGAGCTTGTGCTCTGATTGCGGCTGGAGCGTGGGCGCGGCGAGGCGCTCGATGCTCCCCTTGATCGCACCCTCGACGGACCACGGTTTCTCGAGCGTCGTTTGCAGCTGGGAACTGCTCAGGCCCGTGCCCGTTTGCACGTCGGCCGAGCCCACAACGGCACCGACGAGCGGCTGGGGGTCGAGCCACGCGCGGGTGGAGGAGGCACTCTCCCCCTCTGAGCCCTCGCGCACGAACTCGGCCGGCTCGTCGTCGTCCCGCATCACCGGGATCGTGCTGTGGCCCAAGGCTTGCAGGCCGCTCTCGGCCTGCGAGGAGACAGAGGGGAGATTCCACGTCCGTCCCAGGTCGACCCAGGCGCGACACACCAGCTCCCGCGCCGCACGCTTGCGCTCCATCGCCCAAGCGCCCGTTTCGCCGGGCCGGCGGACGAGCTGCGTGCCCGCATCCGCGTCGAGCGCCAGGAGCATCGGCACGCCCGTCAGTAGAGCCGCAGAGGGGACGTTGGCGCCCAGCTCGCCGAGGATGGCGGCCAGGTTCGCATAGTCGCCTGGCGTGGCTACCGTGTCGAACTGGGCTGGCTCGGTGGATGCGAGTCGGTTCAAGGGGAGCGACACGCGGCGCCGGGTCCGTTTCGGTGGCGCGGCGAAGGATGTCGTGCTGAGCGAGTTGATCTGCATGATCTGCTGCGCTGCCTGCTGCGCCTGTTGGGCTGTGAGCGTGCCGCGCTCGTGCTCGGTGGAGTCGGAGCGCTTGCCCGTCGCGTTCTGCGGTGTGGTGGGCCGGGTGCTGCCCGGCGTTGCGCTCGGCGTCGCGTGTCCGCTCTGCCTTGGCGTGGCCTCGCGCGGCGTCGCGGCCAGAGAGGGGATGGGCTCGCCCGGACCCAGCCTTGACGAAAGGGCAAGCGTGTACACTGCCGCGTGCAGGGCGTTGCAGAACCGCATAATGTTCGGCTCGTCCGGGCGCGGACGGCGGTCGGCCGGGAGCTCGTCCTGCAGCCACAGCAGCAGTGCGCGAGCATAGGACGCGCGGACGGGGTACGTCGACTCGCACAGCAGGTGGAGCGTGTCCTGCCAGACCTCTGGTGAGACGGGGTTGCGCCGTCCGGACACCTTGACCTCGACTCCTGGCGACTCGAGTGCAGGCGCCTTGCCCTTCTCCGCGGCCGTGGGCGTGTCGGCCGCCCGGTCGGCGCCCTGCAGCGCCGCCTCGGCACTGTCGCCCTGCTCAGCTGCGCTCATGACGCCCGAGAGACAGTAGATCAGAACGCGCAGGATGTCCTGCCGTCCCGGGGCCGAGGGGGAGATGGTCGCAATCTGGGCCGCGATCTCCTCGACAATATCGTTGATCTGGTCCGCGTAGTAGATGTGCACGCCGAGGGAGGAAACGCAGTCGACCAGCGCGGGGAGCAGGGCGTCGTCGGCCCGAATTGTCGCGCGGCGCACGATGATGTTGAGTAACGAGGTCAGAAGGTCCGTCACGGCGAGACCGACGAGAGAGACATTGCTGCTCAGCACGGTCGTCACCATTGAGATGATGCTGTGCTGCTTGGCTGTGGGCGGAGAGGAGTCCGGCAGCGACACGAGCAACTCGACGAGACGAGTGGGCATGACGAAGCGAGACTGCAGCAGCATTCCTCCCGTCAGCCGCTCGGCGAGCCAGCAGCAGCGTGCCGTGTCTGACCACCCGGTGCTGTCGAGGTACTCGATGACAATGTCGAGGACACGTCCCGCCTGCGTCAGCTGACACTCGGACACCAGCTCGTACAGGCATCGGTACGCGGCCGCAACGACGTCCTGCTGGTCAGGGCCCTTCTCGCCTGGCACATGTTCGTGAACGCTGGGCGCGCGGCGGTCGCCCACGGGGCGGCGCGCGCTCAGCTCCTTGAAGAACGGGGCGACGTTGGCGTTGTCTCCCGCGTTGCTCGCCGTGACCGCCTTAAGGTCGTCGACGCTGGCTTCGCGCAGGATGGACAGGAGGGTCGGGACGATGATCTTGGCCTGGCGCGGGAACTCGGCGGAACTGCTGAAGACGGCGTCAGAGCAGGCCGCGCCACTAAGCGCGCTGAGTCCGATGAGCCGCGTGCGGCTCTGGTCCTCGACATCGACCGGTGCCGTCTTCTCCGAGATCGCTGCGCCGTTCACGCTCCCGTTCTGGCTGCTGCCGGAGCGCACGGTCGCGAGGCCGGCAAACTGCCGCAGCACCTGGAGGTAGGTCGTGGTGAGCGCGTCGTCCACGCCGATCGCCGCGCCGTCGGTGTATGTCGCAAATGCGACGAAACACGAGGCGGCGCGCGCAATCACCTCGAGGTCGGGCGTGCCCTTCTGGTACACCTTGACGTCGAGGGCGGCGCTGATGATCCGCAGCGTCTGTCGCGCGAACAGGCCAATGTCGCGCTTGCACTCGGTCAGAAGCTTGTGCAGGATGCGCAGGGAGATCAGGAGCGCACTGTTTGTACGTGTCAGCGAACCATGACCCATGTGCAACGACTGCTACTCACGCTCGACTCTTCGGGTAACCGCCCGTGCTGCCCTTGGCCTCCTTCACGACGCGGCGTTCGAGGTCATCGCCGATCTTGGCCAGTGAGCTAGGCTTGTTGGTCGCATGATACGTGAGCTTGCTCAGGTCCTGAGACAGCGGCTGGTACTCGGGCCCGGCCTTGACGAGGTCCTTCGGTGGAGGATAGCAGTCGTTGAGCGCCTTGACCTCCGGGTTGAGGTTGCCGCAGCAAAAACAACCCATGGCGTCGGCTTAATGATGAAGTGGGATAGGGTTGAAGTGATGAAGGAGTAGAGTCCGAGAATTGAAAGGGGGAGAAAGAGTTACTGCGATCCAAGCGCGAGGCGGGAGAAGTACGCTGCCGGGAAGCGAGAAATGTCGAACAAGTCGGGAATGGAAGAATGGGAACGAGTGTGGTCGGGGTCAGTCGGTCGTGGTCGGGGGATCGACACACAGAAAACAGAGACAGGGGATAAGGAAGGGCGGTCGGTGGTCAGCTGGCAGCTTTGTGCAGCGACGACGTTGGCGAAAGATCGGAAGTCGGGGATGGAGAGGTGAGAGTGGAGGGACCAAAGACGTTCACGATGCATGGAATGGGCCCAAGGAAGCGGGCCATCTGGTGGTGAGGGGAGCGTTGCTTGCCATGGTCGGCTCCGATCCCATGAATGGTCTCAATCCAACGCGGGGCGGCTGAGCCCTGCAGGTCGCAGCCAGCCAAGGCACCCAGGCACCCTCTTGTAGCTCGGCACACTTGCAGTCACGCTCTAATGACGTACGCTGCTGGTAGCATCTCCATTACAAACACGACGTTGACGCTAATCAAAGTCGATTAGGGATCCCCATCTCTCTGATCGCGCGCTAACTCTAATCGGCTACGTTCACAGATCCAGCAGCCCGCGCCGAACAGCTTGAACTGTCTTCATTCACTCTTCATCTCGTCTCTGGCTCAAAACGTCGATCTGCTGACTCCATGATGCTCTTATCGATCAAAGTAGACGCGCTCGGGCATGGCATTTTGTGGGTTGGGTAAAACTAAATCAAATGATAGGACAGAGATACGGATGACAGTATGGTATCAACACGGCGCAGTCGTCGGCGCATCTCCGAGCCGAGGGAACGGCGGCAGAACAAAGTGTGTACGTACAACGGGCAGCTCGCTCACAGCAGGGCCATGTCCCGCAACGAATTCCGCACTGACTCGTCAGCTTCTACGTTACCTCTCCCGCAGCTTACCGATAGTGTCGGTGACAGCGGCCATGGCGACTGACAGCTGGCTCGTGTCGGTTGCGGTCGTGACACTGAGAGTTAAAAGGTTACAGGAGCTTCAACTCACTGGATATACAGCTCCTTTTGGTTGTCCGTCTTCAAGTCCCGGAACTTCATCTTGAAGAAGTTGATCGCGTCGTTGTACGACCCGGGCTTGCCCGGAAAGTCGTCAAACGTCGCCGCGATCTGCTGGTCCGGGTCCTTCAGCTTCTCAACCAGCAGGTCTGCTTTGTTGAGGAACAGGATGGCCGATGCTTTCGCGAACCCTGGAAGTTAGCTGAAAGCATGTGGAAGCCAGCTGCAAGTGCTCACATGGTGAGTTAATGATCGACTGCCACAGGATGAGCGCCTCGACCATGCCGTTCGAGTTCTTGTCCTCGATAATGCAGCTGTTGTACTGTGCACGGGTTAGAAGGGGCGCAACACATTGCCGCTTACGTCGCTCAGACTCGCAAGGAAGATGATGCTGGTAACAGATTCGAAACAACTCGCCCTGAGGAGCGTCAGAAAGCGGGTCACTGGGGATCGGGCACCGAGCGCGGATTCCGGCGCAAGTACTCAACTCGCGCACTTACCACTTTCGCCGCTCCGAACGCTGGCCTCCCACGTCGAACATTCGGAAGATCAAGCCCGAGATCTCAAACCGCGTCTCCGTGATACCTGTCGTTTTCGAGCGCACGCGTAGAATGTCGTCGGACGTCGGGGTGTATCCCGGGTCGAACAGGCGATCCAGGTCGGCATAGAAGCTGGGACGGGTCAATTCGCCGCTCCACCGAATGTCTCGGTCGAGCTCAACTCACTATGGCATGTTCTCCTGGAGTGCGTACTCGTACGCTTTCGCCCAGCATCCCTGCACTCCTTCATCCTTCCACAGTGCCTCGAGTGCTGGCTTGTACTCGAGCGGGAACGGCTCTCCCGTGTTGATAGGCGGCTCGTTGTCGACAAGACTGACATGCTGCCGGTTCTCTTCACTGACACTCATACCGAGCTCATCCATGGTGTCAATGATAAGCCGCATTCCAGTTACCAAATTCGAGAACACTATCTTCCTGGGGTGGTAAACATCACACCGCGTGCACAGCTACTCACCTGTAGTCCTCCACCTCCTCTGGACTGAATGGCTTCTTGTGGACAAGTCGCATTTGCTTCAGCACCGTCGACTTCCCGGACGCTCCAGCCCCCAGCAAGAGGATCTTGACTTCGCGCGCGAGACGCTTCTCGTCCTGTGGATGTCAGAGTCCGACGTCCGACAGCAGTGCTGCTGTGCACCTACCTCCTGGAGCGCCTTGTCAATCTGCCTGCTCCGCTTGGTCTCCTCGTCCTTGGGTTTCGAGAAGCAGCTGCCCATGATGGAGGACTTGTGGAGACGGAGTTGCGGGGTAGGAGGGAGTATCGAACAGATCGGAGGGGGGACACAAAGTGTGGAGTGAGTGAACAAGGTTGTTGTTGAACTAAGGGAGTGGGCTGTGAGGGCGGCAGAGCACGACCGAGACGCTCCGGGCTTCAAACGTGATGCGTGTTCTGGAGTGGGGGCCGGGGACGCAGCACGCAGCTAAGGCAGCGGCGCAGGCTGAGAACGCGGGCGTTGGGTGTGTGGTGTGTCGCCTTGTGTGTAACGTGTCGTGCTGAAACGCCACAACGCCCGGCCAGGCCATCCTGTTGTTGTCATGTCTGTGGGACAGCGAGCACGGCGCAACCCCAGCGACCATCACCGATTGGTCCTTCCCTAGCTGCACCAGGGAGGTCACCGCTTCATGACGTCTGCACGGCCAACGCCCTGCTCGTCGAAACAGTCGTCCTTTCGGGGGCGCCATCTCTGTCCTCTGGGGAGGTATGTAAGAGGGTGAACCTGGGTATCGGAAACGGCCGGGCAGGAGTGAGCAAGGTGGTCTTGGGCTTGACTTGAGCGGGCGTGCGGGTATGCTGACTGAAGATCGAGCCTGAAGGGTAGGTGGAGAGGAGTGAGCAATGTGGAGAAGGAAGGCAGAGAGCGGCGAGGTGTGCATGGACTGGATGGGTGCACGATCGTCTGTGGCGTCAAGCCTGATAAGCCTAAGTCCAAGCCTCCTCACGCGCAGCTCTGACGTCTTTGCAGACTCATACGCAGAGAGCGCAGACTTTGGTGTCTTGGGTGTGGCCCCTGCGCTGCGTGCGGCGTTTCCGTCTCTGCTTTCGGACGTGGCTTACCGAGACAGTGCACTCGAGACAATAAGACATCGGACTAAGGCGACCCAAGCCGGCCTCTCAGCCCACAGTCTCAGTGGCAAGGTCGACATGCGACCGCAGTCTCTGCACCGAAGAAGGCGTGCACACCCCGACTGTAGAAACGCTGGAAGCCTATCGAGCACGGAGGTCGCACACACGCCTTGGCCCATGCCTTCCTCGCCTTCCTTGGCAGCACATTCCAGATCTCGGGCCGCAACGCCTTCCACCTTCGATCCGCCAACGTTTATTATTCTCAAGCTCAGCTGGGACACACCTGCCAATCAACCATAATTGCCTCTCGATATCCACGCAGGCCAGTCTATCCTGCAATCGCTTCTCTCTGATCACTGCTGCGCGTCTCTAAGCACTGCACTGCACTTAGTCCGGGCAGCATACACACTTCTCCGGTCATCTTCCTCGATCGGCGCCCCACGAAACGAGCGTTCCAGGCGCAGATCTGTCAACTCGCAAGGTAGACCAAAGGCGGCTCTGAATCCCAGTGCCCCGAGGTGCCAAGGTGCGCCGATTATGAACGCCGATCAGAAGCAGTCTCTCTCGTGCCCCTTGGATCTTGGATCGAGAAACGTCCAGAGTCCGGCCGTTCCTCTCTCGTCCATGTCTGTGTCTCGCCGGACGCCGGACGCCGAGTATATCTCGGGAAACGGTAAGTTTGTTCGAACGCGAAACGATGCCCACCTCTGCAAGCAGTCTGTTCTTGAAACCCCGGGGCCGACAGGCGACCGAGCGAGATAAGGAGATGGGCAGCTACCTCATTCGCTCGGCCCTGTCCACCATAACGCTCTAAGTCACATTCCAATCGGCGAGCAAGCAACCTGCACCGCACGATGACCCGGCGGACTGCGCCGCCGATCGATTGTGTGACAGTCGACCCCGATCCGATGCTGATCACCCTGTTGGCATCACCCCCTTGTCAACATAGCGGCATTGACACCACAGACCGCTCGACTCTGCAAGTCCGTTCGACTTCGGGGATGAACCACCGGCTTACCGCTTCGGCTTCTCGGACGTTGAGGCACCCTAGACCCCTTGAATCGCAGCAGAAGCAGCATGTGCCGATGGAGAAGGTGCTGGTGATTGCATGATCGACCGCCGATCATACGCCCCCCCCCTTTCTCCACCGCGACTACCTGCGAGGAATCGTGCGAGGGTGCGACGTTGATACGCTGCTTCGGATCCTCGGCCCGTCCCACGACCGCACTCCTCTCCTCATTCCCCTCTGCCCTCCTCAGCACACACACAGCTACTTTTCAGCCAAGCAACCATGCTGTCGTCCGGGTCTCAGGTGCAAAGAGAGCCCACCAGGGCACCTGCCGAAGCTCATGGTCTGTTTATTGTCGCAGTCGCCCGACGATGATTTACCCACCTTCCTCGTTGTTTGCCAGCATCGATCGGTATCATTATCTACATAACGCTCTTCTCTCATGGAGTCACGACATCCTCGGACGACTTCTTCAGAGCCCATTTAACCATCCCAAGCGGCCACGCTCGAGAGACTTGAGCTATGCCTCTGTCTCCGTACGGCCCTTTGCCACCGCCCGTGGCAAGATACCGTCCCTTCCCCTCCGACAGCTACGAAGTCGTCTCCTCCGCTCCGACACCTCGGCGCAGGTCGCCATCTCATGATCTCATGTCCCCTATCACCACACCAGGCTCCATCGGCTTAAGACGACGTGGTCGTCAGGCAACAGCGTGCACCGAGTGCAACCGTCGTAAGCAACGAGTGAGTGTTGGCAATGGCAGCTGATTGATGTCTAGGTCGACAGCTGACATCAGTGCGACGGTGTGCAGCCATGCCACCACTGTGCGAAGCGCAACGTCCCCGAAGCGTGCCGTTTCCCCGAATCCTCAGCACCGCGACCGGCGACGGCCATCTCGTTGCCACCGCATGCGGCGCACCACCATCCCTACTTTTCACCTCCGAGTGATACAGAGAAGAAGCGAAGGCTCAGCGACGATCCGCACCTGACCCCCAAGCCAGTCCTTCTACCCCCGATCACGCCGATCGCCATGGGCAGGACGGCGAGCATGCACAGCGTGCACAGTGTGCACAGCGCGCACTCGTTGCAATCGCTGTCGCAGATGTCTTCTGGCCGATCCGTCCCAACCCTCTCGCCCATGCCTGCTGCTTCCCCGGATCGTGGTGGCGACGACGACATGCGGCCCAGCCCTGGATATCGCGCCTACAGACCTTGGTCGCGCCCGCACCTCCCAACGCCCGGGGGAAGCTTCGACGGCCATGGGCCGCCCGCACCATACCGCCGCGACCAGTACTTTGCCGTCCAGCAGCCTCTCTCATCGGAGAGGCACGAAATTCGAACTCCGCCACCTGCCCCCGACACCCGCCGTGCCTCAGACGGTTCCGACTCGAGCGGGAACTGGCGTCCACCTCCGCCACAGGGGCCACAGGCGGACGGAGATGTGCTCATGCAAGAAGGTGGAGCGCAGGGCTTCGGCAGTCTGGCGCACGAAGGAGCAGGCGAAGAGCATAGCCGTGCGTATCCGTCACCAGTTTCGCTACGTGGTGCCTAACTGACCCCAGGCCATGTGCAGTTCTACGGCACGAGCCACTTCGGCCCCCGCCTGGCCGCTAGCGTCGTCAATGTAGGCCTGATCCGGAGCTAACCGATGTGTAGCCACAGCTGACGACCAGGGGGACGGAACCACGCTCCTGAACGGCGCGTCCGCGGAGGAGCTCGTGTCCCCGCTCGAGGAAGGTGCGCCCGAGGCGCTCCTCGAGCAGATCCGACATGTCGACAGCCAGCTTCCGCGGCGCTCCCTGTGCGAGCGTTTCGTCAAGGCGTTCTTCGACCTGAACAACTCGTAAGCTCACTATTTCCGGAACCGAGCTTCCTGGTGGCAACCACTGACACGCAGGTGGATGGACATTCTGTACGAGCCCGACTTCAGTGGCAAGTACGCCGACCTGTGGCGAATCCGAGGCGAGTTCGAGGATCTGGGGCGGATCGATCTGCGCTGGCTCGCGCTGTTCCAGGTCGTGCTTGCTTTCGGTGCCCTGCTCAGTGCCTCGACGCCAGAGGAGGAGAAGGAGTTTGCGGCGATGAGCTCGCGATTCTTCGATTGCGCTCGCCGCGCACTCAGCGAGGCACCGACGTACCGTGGCGAGAGCATGGATACTGTCAGAGCATACGCGCTGGTGAGTGTGATTTAGCTCGCTGATCCTTTCCGTCGAGCTAACGACCAGCTGTCGCTGTACCTCGTCTCGACCAGGCGTGTGCCAGAAGCGTGGAACACACTCGGCAGCGCCGTCCGTGCCGCCGAGGCGCAGGGGTGAGCTATCCTGGACCCGCTGAGCTGACTCCAGATTCCATGTCGACGGGCAAGTGTGGAACCTGCCGCCGAAGGAGGCCGAACTCCGGCGTCGTCTCTGGGCTCGTGAGTGCTGCGATCCATCTCGACTAGCTGACCTCAGAACTGTTCATCCTCGATCGGTCCGTTCTTCTACGTTTCCAGCGAACTGACGCCCAGCTCGATTTCGTACTTCCTAGGCCGCCCGCTTGCGATCCAAGACGCGAGTTTCACAACGCGCATGCCGGCCAACCTCTCCGACGAGGAACTGACGCAGCGCGTCTCGCACCCCATCACGGTGACGACCAAGTCCACCTTCCTGATTCTGCACTTCCGCCTCGCGCAGATCATCGGCATCATCCTCACGCAGTGCTTCGGCCTGACTCCACGCCGCCACGACGCGGTGATGCACTGCGAGTACCTCCTGCTCGAGTGGGAGGGTGCGCTCCCGCCCGCCTTCCGGTTCCAGAACCCCGACACGTCAGCCGACGCCACGCACCCGTGGCTCCGGCAACAGCGCCAGACCCTCGTGAGCAAGTTCCACCAGGCGCGTATCTCCCTGCACCGGCCGTATCTGCTACACGCCGGCTTTCCGCAGAGCCGCATGGCGTGCGTGCTCTCAGCGGGCGCGGAATTGCGACACCGCCTCAGCCTCCTGAAGGACGACAAGGACCCCTTTGACCGGTTCAAGTGGATGGTCGTGGCCAGCGGCTTTGCGCCAGCGTGCGTGCTCGGTCTCCTGCTCGCGCGCAAGCAGCGCGATTGCGAGTACAACTACCGCGAGATCCGGAAGCTGTTCGTCGCGTACCTGGACGCGGAGAAGGCGACGCAGCGCCGCCTCGACCGGCACTTGCGCTCCGAGCTCATGGTGCTGGACCAGATGCTGAGACAGGCGAATGAGATCGACCGATTCCTGCAGCGCACGTCGCCTGTGAAATCCGAGCCGTCGCGTCAACTCCCCGACCCCGCTCAACTCGATTCCGAGTCGAGCGACGAGGACGCCGGGCCGGCCAGTGTCGGTGCCACCGGGGACAGGCCTGATCCGCTCGTCAGCAGGGCCGTGAGCCGCGCACATTCCCCGTTCTTGACTCTGGGCCAGGAGTTCTCACTCCCACCCCCAGCGCTCCCGTTACAGTATCCCGCCCTCCAGGGCGAGAACAGCGATACACCCACGCTCGCGCCCATGTTTGACGAGTGGCCCGCCCCGTGGGCCCTCAGGCCGCCCAGCGACCCCACCGCCACCTTCCCCGCCGCCAACGATAAGGCGAGCTGGGACCGGCTGCTCGAGATCATTGGCCCGCCGCCCGAGCCTGAGCCGTGGTACGATGAGCAGGTCGTTGTTGCGGATACATAGCCTGTGGATTAGTGGACACACGACAATAGGATCCTTGTAGTCAGTTTCAGGTCGCTCAGTCGCCATCGCTTGCTTCTGCTCTGCCCGCCGCGCTCGCTCAGTACACTCTGCTCGCCACTCTGTTGTTAGTCTCTGGGACCAAGAGGTCGATTGATCAATTATGCAAATTAAAGCCAATTAACTCAATTAAACGCCGTCACCTCTTCACTTCCCCATTACTTTCTTCTGCCCATTAACCCATCGTTTGAACTGACGAAAAGAGTGAAAGCGTCGTCAGTCGCGAATACAGTGGTGTTTTCTTCTTTTTTTGTGTGTGTGGTGTCTTCATGTCGGAGGGTCACAGCTTGTCAATGTTGCCGCACCTCGCTGCGCTCGAGTCCGTGTTCTTTTTTGTTCAGGTCATGGCCGAAAGCATCTCGGGGAAAGAAACATCTACAAGGTTGTTGTCTGCCGACGGGTTCGACGGGGACCCGCCGCTTAGCTTACTGCTGCTTGCAGTCCTGGCCGTCGGCGCCCTGCTGGGCTCCGTCCTCGTCGTCGTCGTCGTCCTCGTAGTCCTCGTCGTCGTCCTCAAACTCGTCCTCAAAGTCGTCCTCGTAGCGGAGGGCCTTGCCGGTGAAGTAGTCGACGGCGCGGGGGATGATCTTCTCCTTGAAGTCCTCGCCGAGCTGGTAGTCGATCTCGAGGCGGCCGTCGAGCTCCTCGAGCTCCTCCTCGTCGACGTCGCCCTCCTCGAGCTCCTCGCGCGTCGGGGGCTGGGGAGGCTTGAAGAAGTTGAAGAAGCTCTCGGTCGGCACGCTCTTGCGCACGACACGCGTGCGTCCAGACGTCTTGTTGCGCTGCTTCTTAATCTCAATCTTCTTCGTCAGGTCCTTGTCCTCCTTCCACTTGATGTCCGAGCCGACGGCCTTGTCGTACACAAAGTCGCCACCGTAGCCGACCTGGTCCTTCTTGGTGTTAGCTGCCCGTAGCACACGCTCTGGCGCTACTTACCTGGTAGTAGTACGTCTTGGTAAGCTCCTTGTCCTCGAAGAAGTCGTTGGGAGCAAACGTGAAGTGAAGGCAGAAGCCGGCCTGGCCGTCGAGGTACGACAACCGGATGTCCTCGAGCGACTTGAGGGCCTCCTCGTCGCTGTCGGTGATGGTCTCGGCAAGGGGCATCGAGTTCTTCATGGCGGTGAGCCAGAACTCGGGGATACCCTTGGCATCGGCACCCTCGTCCTTCTTCTCCTTGCCGTCGTCGTCAACCTCGGTGATCTGAGCACCCTCAGTCTCCTCCTCGTCCTCGTCGTCAGAGTCGGCGTTCTTGCCCTCCTCGACCTCCTTCTCGGTGGGCTCCTCCTTGCCGGTGATGATCGCCTCACGTCGGTCGTACAGAGGCTGGTACTTGGCGAGGAACTGTGCGATCGTCAGCACGTCTGTTTCGGGAAACTACTGTGCGCCTCCTGCCCGTTTGCCACAACGGGGGGTACACAAACAACACCATGCGTCATGCACAGCACCACCAAAATGATGCCATGATGATACCACGGCGCGTGCACAGTCGCACTCACCTTCTTCTCGACCTCGAGGATGGCGAGCTGGAACTCGGACTCGATCTTCGAGTGCTCGACCTGGAGGCCCTTCAGGCCGTCAATACGCCTGCGGACGGCAGGGGGAAGCGACTCGATGTAGCCAGAGGGACGGCCGACGAGCGAGCCGAGCTTGCCCTGGGCAAGAGCGAGGAGCGCGGGGTTCTGTGACCGTCAGCATTGTTGAAAAAATCGCAGTGGGTGATGGTAAGGGGAAGGGCGGGACGGTAACTGAATGGGGAACGAGCGGGCGAGAGCAACTTTCGGCGGCCATGCATTGATGCACGATCTGCATGGCTCTGAGCACACCAATGCGCGGAATACTGGCGCATGCAGCACGATCCTGACGTGCTCAAGCCCTGGCATGCGCGGTGCGTGCGACAAGCCTTCGTGGTGGTCATCGTCGATGGAGGCAAAGTTTTCCGTGCGACCTGGAACGATACGCCATAGGGACGGGTTCGTCCCTAAGCGAAAGCGATACGAGAGAGAGAGCGCAATTCATCGCGCGTTTGGGCTCGGCGCAGACGGCGCGGCGGTGGGCGAAGTGGATGGAGAGACACTTACGCTGGCGAGCAGGCTGGCGGGGTTGACGCCGGAGACATCCTCGGCGTCATCCTCGTCCTCGTCCTCAGCAACGTCCTCGACCTGGGGCTTTCCGAGACCGGCGGGACGGTTGGCGAGAACCTGGGTGTTGAGGGGGGTGTTTTGGGGGGGTGGGGGCGATGAGGTCGTCCTCAGCACGGGGCTTGATGTCCTGAGACTCCGACATGGTGAAGAATGGGGGGGATCAAAGGAGTGGAGAGATGGTGAAGAGGGATGAGGAGGTGGCGAACGAAAGAGTCTGAGCAACAACATCGCGGCGAGCGCGCAACGGTGGCCCTGGGCTGACAGCACCCATTCAGTGAGTGAGCCAGCCAGCCAGCGAGCAGCCGACACGGAGACTGTGGGCCTGTGGGAGGCCTGGCCGCCCTGGCGCATGCTGTGGCCTGGCTGGCCTGGCTGGCCTGGCTGGCGTTTCTACCGTGGTCTATGCCCTGCTGAGGCTCAGCCCTGCCGGTGTCCATGGTCCGCCAAACAAATTTGATCCCGCCGTAGTCCGCTGATGCGGCTCTTCTGCCCCGGCTCGCTCGCCTCCCACCACCTCCTCCACAATCCTTGACTCACCCACCGTCAACGATTACGCTGTCCATTACTTCATCGTTTCAAAGTCGACGAATTAGCGGGACCAGATTTTTCGATCTGCCTGCCCACACGCAAAAAAAAACATTCATCACCACACACCGCGCACGCTGGCTGCATTCAGCCTTACCCCTTCCCCCTGCCCAGGCTCAGGCTCAGGCTCAGGCTCAGGCAGCAGCCGCCTCAGGCTCAGATTGTGGGAAGCTCTCCCACACCCGCGCACCCGCGCACTCACATCCCCCTGTACACGGCGAAAAATACCGGATCTGGCCTAAGCGACATGTGGCACCCGACACAGCGTCATCGCCAAGATTCATCCTGCATTCGTGCCTTGCAACCTTCGGACCGTTCGGAACTCGAGATCGAGAGCTTCCTCTGATTCCTGCACTTCCTTGTCCGACTTGTCCGCAACTTTCTGGACAACCGACAATCTTGGCAACCCAAACCGACCATGGCCACCGAAACCAACGGCTCTCCCGAGCTGGCCATCGACTGCAACAACCTCACCTTTGCCTTCAAGGAGGGACAGGAGCCCGTCCTCGACGGCATCACCATCCAGCTTCCGCCCGGAAGCCGCGCTCTCCTCTGCGGAGCGAACGGTGCCGGCAAATCCACCCTCCTGCGTATTCTCGCAGGCAAGCGCTTGACGAAGACTCGCAACTGCAAGATCCTCTGTCAGGATGTCTTCATGAATCCCCCAGGTGTAAGCTGCTTTTTGCGCGAAGCGTAGCTGACATTACAGGGCGTCGTTTATCTCGGCACGGAATGGAGCTCGAATCCCGTCGTTCGTTCCGACATTGTCGTTTCGCACTTCCTCGACTCGGTCGGCGGCTGGCGCCACGCTGAGCGCCGTGACCGGTTGCTCGAAATTCTCGACGTTGACCTTGACTGGCACATGCACCAGATCTCGGACGGCGAGCGCCGTCGAGTCCAACTGTGCATGGGTCTGATGGGCGAGTGGGACGTTCTGCTTCTGGACGAGGTCACGGTTGATCTGGACGTGCTTGTCCGTGCGGACCTCATCGACTTCCTCGTGCAGGAGAGTGAAACCCGTGGGGCCACCATTCTCTGTGAGCAAACTGCGACTGGTCCATATGCTGACCTCAGACGCTACTCACATTTTCGACGGTCTCTCGGCATTCCCGACCCACATCTGTCATATCCAAATGGGCCGCACGCCTCGCCCCATGTTCAAGTGGACCCCCGGTCAGCAGGACCTGTTCCAGCTCGCGCTCGGCTGGCTTCGCGAGGACCGCGACGTGCGCCGGAAGCACGAGGCCGACCGCGGCAGGATCCGTGGTCCCCGCACCAAATCCGACACTAAGGACGCTAAGGCGTTCTTTGAGAAGTACGACTATGGACAGGGCAAGTAGACGATCGACTGCCAATCGCTTCGCAGTCGCTCGCACGCCCAAACTACCCTAGAGTAAGTGTCTCGATGGATCGAGGAAGGCCCGGTGATGAAAAAACTTAGTAATCCGTTCACACACCCCGCTCCAACGAAGGACACATTGCCCATCGGCTCTGGTTTTCCAGTTACTGATGGAGCGATGGGGTGTGGATGGTGAAGATAAGGCGATACTGAGGGTTATCGTGGAGAGATTGTTTGCATTCGCACAGCTGTTCCGGACCTCGAGCTGACCTCCAGTGACTCTAGGCATTGTAACTCTACATCTTCAACTGTTGTCTCTCAAAGCACTGCATTCAACCGCACACATGCATTCAACCGCAACATTTTGTATAACGCATTATCAAAACCATATCATATGCATTTGTCATCCTGTCTTGAAGCTACCAGTGGTTTGCACTGTCTGTGATTTCGCATGTGGAGGCCGCGCGCCGTGGTCGACGACGCGCGTGGGTGACAACGCGGGGTCCCGCACTGCGGATTGTCGCTGTTGCTCTTTCAAGTCTCCTGCCACGTCTAGCTTCCTGCATTCCCACTTATTTCACGCTCTTTACCACCAACAATGAGCGAGCTTCGCGCCCGCTCTACGGGCAAGGAGAAAGCCCAGGCTTCCAAAAATGACCAGCCGGTGAAGTCGCAGGCGAAGAAGGTGCGCTTCAGCATGTGTGGGTGTAGCCACTGACATCAGCCATCCTTCCCCATTGGAACTGTCCTTCTCTTTGTTGTTGCGACTGCCGCGCTCTGGTTCGGTAAGGACGTGAGTTTTCTAGGTCTCCAATAACTGACCCCAGCACTTCATCAAGAAGGCTCCTGAACCCGCCAAGTCGGGGGAGTCTTCGACCTTCCTGCCTGGCATGAAGTTTGGCGTAATCGACATCAAAGAGCATGTTCCCACCGGCGGTCGCGTCCATCTCGAGGCCGATGAGGAGAGGCGGGACGCTATTCGCGATGCCTTCCAGTGGAGCTGGGACGCTTATGGTAAGTCGGAGCTGAGCATTGTTCCTTCTCGCCTAGCTGACCTCAGAACGCTGCGCGTTCGGAACGGACGAGCTGCACCCGATCAGCTGTGGCGGTTACAACCTTTCCGAGACCGGCCCTATCGGCTACACCATCGTTGACTCTCTGGACACGCTTCTGGTCATGAATTTCACAGAGGAGTACCACCGCGCTGCGGACTGGTGCAAGAAGAACCTCGACTTTGACCGCGACTCTACCTTCAACACATTCGAGACGACCATTCGCGTGCTTGGTGGTCTGCTCGCTGCGCACTACCTGACGTCAATCAGCGACGACCCCAAGATTGCCGCCGACGCCCCGTTCTACCTCGAAAAGGCAACCGACCTCGGCGAACGCATCCTTCCCGCCTTTGACAGCCCCTCCGGTATTCCCTACTCTGGCGTGAACCTGCACACCCGCACCGGCGTTCCGGACCGCGACAACAATGGCCTCTCTTCCCTCGCTGAAGCGACCACCCTGCAGCTCGAGTTCAAGTACCTGTCGTACCTGACCGGCGACCCGATCTACTGGCGCAAGGCTGAGCGTGTCATGGACGTCGTGCGCCAGGGCGCCACGAACGGCATCGCACCCATCTTCATCAACCCCCAGAACGGCGCTTTCGTCGCGAGCGACATTCGTCTCGGTTCTCGTGGAGACTCGTACTACGAGTACCTCATCAAGCAGTACCTGCAGACGAACCGCGAGGAGAGCGTGTACCGCGACATGTACGACCACGCCATGGACGCGATCAAGACCCATCTCATGACTCGCAGCAAGAAGAGCAACCTCCTCTACACGCACGAGTTCACTCCCGCCCGTCACCCGGAGACTGGCACGCAGTAAGTTGCTCGCAGCTGGCTGGAAGGAGCGTTAGCTGACCCACAGATCCTGGGCTATCGAGCCGAAGCAGGACCACCTTGTGTGCTTCCTCGCCGGTTCGTTCCTCCTCGGCGTGACCGAGGGAGGCAAGCGCGAGCTCGACTGGAAGAACTTGGACCAGGTCGACCAGGAGGACTACATGGCCGGCACGGGTCTGATGGAGACCTGCGTGGACACGTACAACACGCCGACAGGCCTCGGCGCCGAGATCGTTATGTTCCGTATGCGTGAGGACCCGCTCGCAGACGAGGAGGACTGGTACATCAAGTCGGGCAAGAATCTGATCGACTCGCGCAACATTCTCCGCCCCGAGACGGTCGAGAGTCTCTTCCTCGCATACCGCCTGACAGGCGACGAGCGCTACCGGGACTACGGGTGGAAAATCTTCCAGGCGTTTGAGAAGCACTGCAAGGTCGACACGGGCGGTTACGCCAACATTCGCGACGTGCGCGAGGTCCCTGCGGAGAAGGAGGACAGGATGGAGACGTTCTGGCTCAGCGAGACCCTCAGTGAGTAACAACACAGCTTGGTGTCGTATGAGAATGAGCTGACAACCAGAATACCTTTACCTCCTGTTTGATGACTCGGACCACATCGCCCTCGACAAGCACGTCTTCAACACCGAGGCCCACATCTTCCCCGTCTTCAACCCGAAGCAGTTCCTGACGCCGTTCGCGACCTCGTAGATGTCAGCGCGAGCGTAGGCGAGCTTATGACCGCCGTCCCCCTGTCTCAGCAATATTCAGCAGAGACTTGACATACCATAACCGTAACCCTCAGCAACTTGTCTGTGACATGTTCTGCCTACATGTATCTCATGAACTCGTCTCGTCGCGGCATCTTGTGGCTTGCAGAAAGAAGACCGATCACGTGTCGCCAGGGGCAGGCAGTAACTGTTCCTGATCATCCTGTCGGGGCGTCGTCATATCCTTTCTTCCCTCGACCGAGGAAATTTCTGCCGCACCATAAGCATAGCAGCTACATAGGTGAAACTCCGTCAAGACGTTTCCATTTAGATCTGTCAGGAGAGGTGCGCGGAAGTGGGACGAATGAGTTATTCTGAGAGGGGAGGGAGCGCTACAGAGATGGACCATGGAGAGGGGCTGGGCCCAACCCCAAGCCGCCGATCAAATGGGGGCGCGGCGGCCCCCACATCCGTGCGGGCGGCGTCCTGAGTCCGCTGCTTGTGTCCTGAGTGATGTGAACAGTGACATGCTGGAGCTGTTGGAGAGTATGCAGTCAGAAACTGAGAGTAGCATGGGCGTCTCAGCTTCCAGTATGCAGTCTGGCATTGCGACAAGACATTCCGATCGGACCTCGCTTGGCTGAATCCGAGATGTTGGAATTCAGTTTGGAATCCGGTGCAGACTTGCAAGATGGCGAGACCGACCGGAAATGTGGGGGAGTTAGGTTTACATTCATTCAGCGCGTGAGCGCGTCTGGTCCAAGCGCGCCCAAGGCCTGCACGTACACAGGTGTACGGGGCAAGGTTACGACCTCGGCTTGCCAAGAGGGAGAGCATGACAATGCCCGCGTCCCCAGGTCCCGGTATCATGTTAGGCTTGGCTTGGCTCAACTCTGTGCCGGTGATTTATAAGAAACCTTTCCGTACCTCTTTGCAGAGGAATTTTCATGGACCTAGAAATGCAAGATGAGGACGCGAGAACGCCGCTGACGGATCGATCGCATCGTAGATGCACACATGACCGTGGTCTTGGCAGCCACCCGCCACTTGACTACTTGGGAAGCATTACCAACTGAGGCTGGGCTGGGGTGAATGCTGATTCATAAAGACATTTCCCGCTTGCAGTAGTGCGGGGTATTGTCTGTGTAATCCGCACGTGGGGGCTCCTTAACGCTCCTTAACTGCTCCTGGGCCGTGAGACCGAGCCCAGGGTCCGATGACATCGGTGCCTTGATATCGCTGCCGTTCTCCAGTCTGGCAAGAAATGGCCAGACAACCCGCTCTCTCCGCAACGATTTCTTCGACAACTACTTCACGACTGCTGCTGACTTTCGTCTCCCTCTTTTCGCTATTCGACCAGACAAGCGCAGACTCGAAGGAGGATCAAGCATGTCGGCGAAACGCCTCCAGAGCAAGCTCTTCGGCACCCACGCTTGTGAGTATGAGCTGCGGCTTGCCCCATTGGGATACGGGACGGCTTCCTGTCAGCTGGCGAGGAAGATCAACTCGAGTTGTCCAGGCAGTCAACAGCTGGAGAGCACTTGAAGAGTTCAGCTGACAGGCAGCGCCGACGCTCCAGGGCGAAGACGACCGCAGTGGTGCCAGCACCCCCGTCCCGCCTGGCGTTGCGACACCGACCGAGCTGAAGATCGACATTCCCCCTCCCGGCAGCTCAACCGCTGGAAAGGTCGGAAAGGAGTGAGTACCTCGAGAGCCCACAGCTGCCTTGAGCCGTTGCTATGTGTTGTTCTGTGCAGCTTGTCTGCTCTTCCTCGCATTGCGCATGACACCAGCGAGAGTCGCGATAGATGGCTCTGCCTTGATCCGATATGCAGCTGCGTAGTCTCTACATCCGAAGCTGACCCTCCCAGCCTTCCCAAGCGCGCGAGTGCCCCCAAGGACGACGAGAAGACGCCGCCTGCGGAGCGTGGAGCTTCCCCGCGCCCCACCTCGGGCAGCGACCCAGCCACGCCGAGGGAGAGGAAGGTGAGTCACCTGGCACACGACATTTGTCAGCTGCGTATGACCTCTTCCAAGCTGACCCCAGCCCCTCCGTGACCGCCTGCTAGACTCGCTTGGCTCGCGCTACCGCTCTGTCGAGGCGTACCGCCTGGAGCAGTCCGACAAGTACGAGGTGCATTGGAAGCGATGGGGTCCCTACCTGTCCGAGAGGCAGTGGGGAACCGTCCGCGAGGACTACAGCGCGAACGGTGATGCCTGGAACTCATTCCCCTTCTCCATGTCCAAGTCGCGCGCGTACCGCTGGGGTGAGGACGGTATCGCGGGTATCTCGGACAACCACCAGCGGCTGTGTTTCTCGCTTGCGCTGTGGAACGGCAAAGACGACATCCTCAAGGAGCGTCTGTACGGCCTCACGGGCGAGCAGGGCAACCACGGCGAGGACGTCAAGGAGATCTACTACTACCTCGACTCGTCGCCGACGCACTCGTACATGAAGACGCTGTACAAGTACCCGCAGGCCAAGTTCCCGTATGAGAAGCTGCTCGAGGAGAACCGCAACCGCTCGCGCGAGGTTAGCGAGTATGAGATCATCGACACGGGCGTCTTTGACGAGGACCGCTACTGGGACGTGTTCACCGAGTACGCCAAGGACGAGGAAGACCCGAATTCGATCTCGGTCCGTATCACGGCGTACAACCGTGGCCCCGACCCCGCCGACCTGCACATTCTTCCCCAGCTCTTCTTCCGCAACACCTGGAGCTGGCCGAAGGAGCTCCCCGAGAACATGCCGAACATGCGTGAGGTCGCTGAGGGTGTCATTGAGGCCGACCACGAGTCGCTCGGCACCACCCGCCTGTACTGCATGCCCTCGCCCGCGCCGGCTGCGCCAACCAAGGGTGGCGTTGTCCTCGTCGACGGCCCGAGCGTCGTTCCCGACCTGCTGTTCACGGAGAACGAGACGAACTACGAGCGCCTCTACGGCGGCCACAACAGGACGCCGTTCAATAAGGACGCGTTCCACGACTACATCATTCCCTGGCACCGTCCCGAGGTAAAGTCGGAGAAGAAGGAGAACGAGGACGGCGAGAAGATCGAAACCGAGGAGGTCAAGCGCTACCCCGCCAATCACTTTGTGAACCCGGCGCACCGCGGAACCAAGGCGGCCGCGCACTACTCGTTCAAGAATGTGCCGGGCAAGGGCGGCTGCGTCGTTGTGCGCCTCAAGCTCACGCCCAACTCGCCCGCCGAGGACCCCGCGATCCTGGACGAGGAGCTGTTTGACGACACGATCGAGGACCGCCGCCTCGACTGCGACGAGTTCTACTCGCACCTCGGCCGCGGACCGCTGAACGAGGACCTGCGCAGCATCATGCGCCAGGCACTCGCTGGTATGCTGTGGACGAAGCAGTACTACCAGTACATCCAGAAGGAGTGGATTGAGGGCGACCCCGGGCAGCCGCCTCCCCCGCCTGAGCGCAGGCGCGTCCGCAACGCCGACTGGCGCCACCTGTACATCAACGACATTCTGTCGATGCCCGATAAGTGGGAGTACCCCTGGTTCGCGACGTGGGACACTGCCTTCCACTGTATCCCTCTCGCGATGGTCGACCCCGGATTCGCCAAGAAGCAGCTCGACCTGCTCACGCGCGAGTGGTACATGAAGCCCGACGGCGCACTTCCGGCGTACGAGTGGAACTTCTCCGACGTCAACCCGCCCGTGCACGCTTGGGCCACGTTCCGTGTGTTCAAGATTGAGCGTCAGTGGCACGGCGTCGAAGACCTCAACTTCCTCGAGCGTGTCTTCCAGAAGCTCCTCATCAACTTTACGTGGTGGGTCAACCGCAAGGATGCGGATGGCAACAATGTCTTCGAGGGCGGCTTCCTTGGTCTCGACAACATTGGTCCGTTCAACCGATCCGAGCCCCTGCCCGGAGGTGGCGTGCTCCGCCAGGCCGACGGTACTAGCTGGATGGGCTTCTACTGCCTGAACATGCTCAGCATCGCCCTCGAGCTCGCCAAGCACAACCCGACGTACGAGGACATTGCGTCCAAGTTCTTCGAGCACTTCCTCTACATCGCCGATGCAATGACATACCCGGCCAGCGACGACCAGCAGCTCTCGCTCTGGAACGACGAGGACGGCTTCTACTACGACGCCATTCAGTGGGGCTACGGCCACGCGGAGCAGATTCGCGTTCGCTCCATGGTCGGTCTCATGCCGCTCTACGCGACGCTTGTTCTTGAGCCGCAGGTCCTGAACCGCTTCCCCGGATTCCGCAAGCGTCTCGACTGGTTCGTCGAGAACCGTCCCGACATTAGCCAGCGCAACATTGCCTCGCTGAAGAAGCGTGGTAAGGGCGACCGTCTCCTGCTCGCATTCGCGGACAAGGAGCGTCTCAAGCGTATCCTCGAGAAGATGCTGGCTGAGGACGAGTTCCTGTCCGAGTTCGGTATCCGCTCCCTCAGCTACTACCACCACGACCACACGTTCAACATGCGCGTCGATGGCCAGGACTTTGGCGTCGAGTACTGGCCCGGCGACTCGAAGAGCGGCATGTTTGGTGGAAACTCCAACTGGCGAGGACCTATCTGGCTCGCTGTCAACTTCCTGGTAAGTTAATTGATCCGTAGCGCTGACTAACTATTCTCAGCTCATCGAAAGCTTGCAGCGATTCCACCAGTACTACGGCGACTCGTTCCAAGTCGAGTGCCCTGTCGGATCGGGAGACGTAAGTACTAGTTGTTGGACTACACTAACGCCGGCAGTACATGAACCTGGCGGGATGTGCCGAAGAGATCCAGCACCGTATCATCCACATCTTCAGTCGCGACGAGGCGGGTCGCCGTGCCGTGAACGGAGGTAACCCCAAGTTCAACAAGGACCCGTACTTCCGCGACTACGTCCACTTCTTCGAGGTAAGGCTTCGCATCACTTTGCTCTAGCTGACCCCAGTTCTTCCACGGCAACGACGGACGCGGTCTCGGCGCCAGCCATCAGACGGGCTGGACTGGACTCGTCGCCTGGTCAATCCACAAGACCGGAGAGTTCTGCCGTCTCCCGAAGACGCCCAAGACGCCGCGATCACGTGAGTTACCCATGCTTTCTCACAAACTGACAACAGTCGCTCGCCACTACTTCGACGACCAGATCAACACGCCGAGCGTCGATGGCTCGCTCTACTCGGCGTACACGGACGCGTCGACGTGGGACGAGCCCGAGCCCGACGAGCTCTAAGCGCGACCGGTGTAGTGGTAAAAAGGACGATGACTCGCATTTCTGCACCCCATCTAGTAAGCAAAGATTCAGATATAGATTTTCTCGCAACCATCAGTATGTATTCCGTCTCCCGCATCGTCGTTGCTGCGGGTATGGTTTGGCGCATTCACGACAGGTCGAATTGACGAAAACGGTCGAGGGGTGCGCCTGTATAGGTCGATGGGACCGCTTCACCTGACACGGACCCCACAGACGCACAGCACATGGTGTACGGAAGCGCTTCAAGACTCAGCTGATCCGCACTGCTGTCACGCTCGAGGGAGTTCTCGACGTCAGGCCAGAGCTCTACGGCGTGTGCAGGAGGCTATAAGGGGTGTCGAACCCGAACGTCTACGCTCCGCTCAGGCAAGGCGGCTGCGGGCGGATCCGACCCGATGCTAGCGGGAGACCATACGGTCAACCGCGTCACGCGACTGCTCCTTCGATCTCATCCAGCTGACCTTCCCTCGCTCGATGTGACTTCTAACTCATCTTTCACGCACTCACCTCTTCCTCACAATCACTGACCGGACAGAGCAGTTACGGCAATCCTCACCTACGCTCATATAGTGTCCTAACTCTTACCATGACGACCCGACAACGTCATGAGCTGAACCAGAAGCAAGCACACGGATGGCCCAATGCTGCGCAGCGTGTTTGTGCCAAGCACAGATTCGCACTCTGCCTTTGCACGTTGGACCTGAGCATTTCGACCAGCGGGGGGCGAGGATGATCGGGCGATCGGGGGGCCGTGCAGTCACATTTGCACTGCACTGCACACGGCGGCACATGCGGCACACAAGCATGCGCACGCGCACTCCTAGCTTCGTGCTTTCGGACACTCGGACTTGTCTCGCCAGGTTCGGGCTTCCTGCGACTGACCCGAATGGTTGCTTCCTTCCTCTCACACTCTGCACCGCCCAAGCTGCCTCCCATGACAGAAGACTGAACCCCATTGAACACACATCGTCACACTCCGGCTGCCAACTGCGCACAGCTGTCTGCATCACTACGTACTCGTCCTCGCGTCCTTTCCACTGCCTTCCTCGCCTCGTACACCAGCCGCAATCAGCCCCGCACAAGTTTGCCCTTCCGCATCGCCACCGCGCACGAATTCACGCACAAACACTCTGCCCGGCCCCCTCCCTCCTTTGCTTCCACTGCGCCATTGGCCCGTCTGCTACCCTCGGGTGCTCGCGAACGACCCGAGCTTACAAGGAGGGCGGACAGGCCGACTGCTGGGCCGACCAGGACGCTGACGTAGAATTCACCCAACGCACCGGTCAACTTCTCCTTTCTCTCCATTTGCATCTCTCATCTCTCAGCACTGTCCCGTCTGCCGCTCACCTTGCTCAACAAGTGTTCAAGGTCGACAAGCACCATGTTCGGAGCAGGAGTCCTCGCTAGCGCACTGCTGGCTTCGGTGGCGACGGCGCAGATGAACCAGCTAAGGACGGCGTGGACGACAAATCCGGGATCCGCAACGCTCGACTTTGGGCCGAGTACCTTCCCCGTCGACCCAAGCCAAGGATGGAACTTCACCACGCTCGAGCAGAGTGACGGCGTCAGTCTCTGGATCCCCCCGCTCTTCGACCGCGAGCCGCGAGCGTACACGACTCTCCGTGGAGCCAACGTGACCGCGCATTTCTACGGGCACGGTGCTGCTGTGAGGGGACGTGTTTTCGAAGACAACAGCACCATCTCCTTGACGCTCGATGGAGACCGCCGCTTCACGAACTCGACTGTGCTGCAGGGCAGCGCGGATTACCGCAAGCTGATTGAGATCTACGACGATGACCCGGTGAACAGGTGGAGGACTTTGACCATCACGCTCCAGAGCGGAGGGATGCAGCTGCGCAACGTGTCCTTCCTGCAGACGGTTACCATGGGCTACCAGTATACCCAGGATGCGCCTTACATGGGGGTGAACGCCACCCAGTTCGACACCGACGAGATCGACAAGTTCTACACCACCACCGGCAACTGGAAGACGGAGAAGCTGCTCGAGCCCAACTGTGAGTTCTGCAACTACCTGAGTGCTGACCTACTGTACAGATGCGGCGATGGAGGCACCACATGTCGTCGGTGATCCGGGCGCCACCATTGCCTTCCGGACATGGCCTGGGGCTTCCACTCTCATCATGCGAGGTATCCACGGTCGAGAGGCTGGTGAGATCAAGTACAAGATCGAGCCCTTGCCCCACGCGGGGTTCCCTGCGGAAGTCACTGCCAACCTCGGCCGCCCGATCGAGGCTGTCAACTACTTTGCAGAGGTGGTGCTGGACCCAACCGTGCGGTACAACGTCACGATCACCAACAGCGACCCGAAGCGCAAGTTCAAGTACGGCGCTGCGCTCTTCTACCTCTCTAGCGAGTGAGTGGACGCAGCTGCTCCTCGGTCGTTAACATCTACAGCACATACAAGACTTGGACACCAGAGGAGGAGTACCCCAAAAATGAAACAACAGAAACGACCGAACCAACGACTGAGCGTAAGTCATGGTTGGAGGTAAATGCTAATGCGATAGCTGTCAAGGAGGACGGTGGAACGAACGTCGGCGCGATCGTCGGAGGTGTTGTAAGTTGTCGAGAAGGGTTTTGAACTGACTTCAGGTGGGCGGTGTCTGCGGCGCGGCGCTGCTGGCCGGACTGCTGTTCTTTGTCTGGTACCGCAACCGCCGCCCTAACCCGCTGGAGGACGAGTGAGCTGGCATCCCAGTTCTGAGCTGACAGTGCAGTGACAAGTTTGTCGTCGACGACACTGCCATGGCGTCTGCGATGCACGTAACCCCGATGCCCCTCCCCGCCGCAGCTATCAAGTGAGTTGGCTTCACTGTTCAAGTGCTTATGCAGCAAACCCGGCTACCCCGGCCCGGCGACGCCCTCAGAGGGTCAGCAACTTCTGACGGACGGCACGCCGTCACAGCACCGCACGTCGTTCTCGCTCTCCAGCTCTGGCCAGACCTATACCCCGCACCACCCCTTCCACCCGCCGCAGGAGGCCGACGCCGGTCCCGTCAACAGCATGGACACGGTGCCGCCCAGCTACAACCCTGCTTGGGCTGGTCCTTCAACAAGCTCTGATCCCGATGGAGCGACTCCCTCGAACACTGTGTCGCGCTCCAGCTTCATGTCATCCACCCCCACCCAGGGCGCACTTCACCTGCACAGCGGTTACGACCTGAAAAACCTTCGTGCCATGGATGAGCCTGCCGAGGAGGAGCCGCGTCCCGAGGCGCCGCCTCTGCCGACGAAGACGAAGCCGCCTGGGTCATAGTCAGGGTCTGCACCACTCAACATCCGGAGGTGCAGGTCACGCTCTATCATCTCGGACTGGATCTCGACTGTGTATAGAGCTATCTCTCACCGCGCCACATTGTGGTGAACGCTTGTGCATTAGTAAAAGCCCAGTGGACTGTCAGTCGGTTAGCTTTCCATTGCAATTGCTGCCTGCGGCGGCATTCAAGTCGGAAGGACTTTCAACAACGTACTCTATGTCATTGCGGTAATGAACAGCCAGTCTGTCAGTTCAGTGTTAGTAGACTGACGTGAGCACTTCAGATTCCCCGCTCAACCCTGCTTGTCAGCATTCGGTGCAGAGAGCTCTGGCGACTCTGAAGCTGGTAGAACAAAGATAAGAGATTATCTCCCACGGCGTCAAATCGCCACACTCACCTTGGTATGACCTCATCGTCCGGCTGCGTTCCGACCGGGATCTCAGGAAGCCGGCCGGACGACGCGGTGAGTCAACGAGCGAGGCCCGGGGAACGACGTAGCCAAGCTCCCAACTCCCAGCGTCCCACAGCAGGTCTCAGCACGAGCACGAGACGATGACGCGTATTCGTTTCACAGCAGTGCTCTGAGGGAAGTCTGAGGAGTAGGTTGAACACAGACCTGGGACAACCCTACAATTCTTTGCCGGCATATAGACTGGCAGAGTGCTCGGTGGCAACGGCGGTCTGTCAGGATTTTCGGGTCGCTCGGTCAGCTGAGCTCGGTGTGTCAGCTGTGCTGCCGTGAAGCATATCCGGGGCATCCGGCCTCACCAGTTCCCAGTGAGTTGCGGCGTCATGAGCACGGACACAGGCGAATGCTGGTATAGGCACGAGTGAGACACTCGGTATGTCGTTCTGCATACCTCACTCTAGCTCTCAGCAGCTCCAGCTGGCCGATCGCACGCTTGCACTGCAAGCTGCGCTGCAGTTGGATCCCGGGACCGAAAGGATGGCGACATCGGCGTGGCATTCCCATTCTCACCCCCACCAAGAGATAAATGTCTTGCGCCCACCTGCAGCGTTCCCAGAATCTGTATCTGTGCAGTGGTGGTCAGCTGCTTCACTCGCAATCGCGTTCGGCACCACAGCTGCCGAACATGCCGCCCAGTGCTCAATGAACCATGACGAGGTGGCGCCCGGCGGTCATGTGCGCTCATGTCGCTGAATGCTACGCGCACCGCATGGTTCAGCTTCTGGCACCAGGACGCTGGAACGCCAGAATTGCCTGTCTGCATTCTGCCCACCGCGCAAAGATCCTCGACCCTCTGCACGGACGTTCGCACGGGTGAAATGTGAGGTGTGAGGAACTCAGCATAGCGAGCAAATGTATGTAAGCATAACTCTGTCCGCCCTCGAAATCTGAGCGGAAAGCAGACACCGCGCTGCGCTGGGGCACGCACGCATTCTGCGTAGAGTGAAGGTAAAGCGAAAACCTACCCGCCAGTTACCCGTGCATCACTCAGAGTGTAGGTTTGGGTGGGCTGTTCGCTTGCCTGCTGCCGCGCCGCATGCCGCTGAGCGCACTCCCACGCTCGAGGGATGCTCGAGATCGCTCGGCATTACTGCGATTCGCGATTGGCAGTGCGAAACTCCAATGACTTGTGCAGCGTGCGAACATGACTCAGGCGGGCGGGTATGAATGAGCCAAGCGCTGGCACAGACTCCGGAAGGTCCAGACGTCGTTCGAGGAGACATGAATCTGTGGCCGGCCCGCCGAGATCCAGACGTCGCAGCGTCTCACATCTGGCACTGATGTCCTGAAATCAGGTGAATAGATGGGCTTGATTTCAGACCACTCATGAGCTTTCAGAGCACTGGCAGACCCCAGATCGACCTCAAACCGGAGGCTCAAAGCAGGGCTTGAGATGCTGAAAGCATTGAAATGAGCAGGTCATGAAATCCTGGCTTCCCGAAACTTCATGTCCAATGTCCCACAACTACTCCCATCATTTGCAGAAGTGTAAAACCAGGGTATCACCATGAGATGACTGAAAGAGGCGAAACGCGCTTGATACTGTGCAGGGGAACTTGCACAAACGTGACGGGATCGTCGCCCATGCAAGTGGACATTACCGACAGTCGAGAACCTAGACTTGCTTCACAACCACAAGTGGGCGGACATGCTACGCCGAGATGCCCGGCCTGTGAGACGTGCAAGTGTGCCTATCGTGCTGGAGCACAGCATCACTGCCGCGTGCCTTCACAGCGGTGAGGTGATGGCACGCCCGGGGTCGCCGTCTGGGCCGCGTATGGAGGAAGAGGGCGGCTCGGAAACCTTGCTCGCGCGCAAACGTGCTTTCGGAGTTGCGAGCACGGAGCGACGAGCTCGTGCCAGGCCCGCAATATGCATAGTGCTTAGCGTCTAGGGCTGCAGCTCGTAGGTTGGCCCAAGGGCGGTTTGTGCCGTTAACGGAGCTGGTCCTGCGCTTGATGCGCTGGAGGGGCAGAGGAACGTCAAGCTGTACCTCGCTTGAAAGCCCGAGAGTGGGAGAGTGAACAAACTCTACTCGTCGGGCTTGTTGGGCACCGGGAGCAGCCAGGAGGCCAGGAACTGGATTATGCGATCTGCAACGCTTGTCCAGACCCAAAAGTCGCAGTGCGTGTTGCCCACACCCTGGTGCCAAGAGCATTTGTCTCCTGGTCGACGAGCCCAGCGTGCATTGTGTTAACTGCATACCTACAGGCTCGCAAGCAAGTGCTGCAGGATGATCAAACGTGTAATGTACAGGGGGCGGGGAGGAAGCGTGACGGAGTGACACTGCATGCAAGCGAAGTGGGCTCTGGCTGGCGGCAGAGCGTCAGCGCGTCAGCCGACAGCAGTGCGACGCCCCTGACGCCCTTACCTTAGTTCTGGGTTTGTCACTCAATGCCCCATGTCCCAAGCTCAATGCTTGCGCCGAGGGCGCCGAGCAGCCGAGCAAGCGATCATGCTTCAAGCTTGCACTCAGGCTGCGCGAGAGTAGAGAGAGCTAGCACGACGTCCGTCCCACTGCTCGCTGTCTCGGTTGGCACACTGGCGCCGCGATCAGCCTGTCGCCTGCACACCCTGGTGATTAAAACGTGCTTGTCAGGCGAACGTCGTCGGGCCAACCGACGCGGCAGTGATCGCGGAAGCGTTAACCTGGAAAGGTCATTTTGAATCTTCTGGCGCCCAGCATGCAAGTCATCCGCGGCGGAATGGGGAGCGGAGTGGCGACCATCGCTTGCGATCGCTGCGATCACTTGCACTCATGCACTCAGTTGGAAGTCAGCACATGCAGATATACGTCATCCTACAGACGCGAATGGTTTTCCAAAGAAATCGACCGCCGTGCCTGGAAGGGTCCACCTCTGCCCCTCCTTCTGCTGGCTCGGCTGGTGAGCGCCGCTTCAGGGCCTACAGGCCAGGATCCCACGCTCCCTGGCTGGAGGCACCGAGATGCACTGCTCTTGTCGTCGCCTGATCGCACCATCGACATCAGCTGGCATCACCGAACACAATGCGAGTGTCACTAGCAAGCAGGTGGTGGACAGCGTGCATCCGCTAACAGCCGCGAGCAGCCGAGGCGACATACAAGGCTGTGTCTCGGCGACCGCGGCGCGCCACGGGGCACGCTGTCGAGCACAAGCTCGCAACTAGCGCCGGGCCATGTGCTGCGCAGGATGAGCATGAATGCAGTCCAGGCGCGCCTCGCAGCCAACGTACCGCCATAGTGCCGAATGGCACGAACAAGTGCAGCCATGTTCCTTGCGTTCCTTGCGCGAGACAGACATGGCTGCATGGCTGTTCCTTGGCCCAGATCGTCCTTTTCCCAGTGGCCAGTGGGCAGTGGCGACGGCTGCGCGGCGGCCGGAGGCGCCCTCGTCACCCATCGAGGCAGCACATTTGGGGCCTTGCAACATTGCGCAGAGTCTCCATCTCTGCTGCTGCGACGGAGCGTCGCAATGTCCGATCCGTAGTTGTGGAGAACTCTGACGGTCTTTGGTACCGAGGCAAGGGAGGGTGATGCAATTGTTGTGACATTGGGAGGAGTGATGCGGGGCACTGCAAGCTCTGAAAGGAGCAATATTAATCAAAGTGGAAGCGATGAGATTGCCCGAATGGGATGGCTGGCGATGGGTTCAGACTGCGGGAATTGGACTGCGACACAACGTCAAACGGCAAGGTTGGAGGGACTGGGTGACATTAGATTTGGATCCTGCTTCGGCCATGTACCGCAGCAAAGCAGCAGCCCGGCAGCAGCAATCGGACATCAGACGGTCGCAGAGCTTGGTGACTGCATGCTGATGTGAGCAGCTCTGGAGGGTGCGGGTGATGCAAGAGCGATGAGAACGCAGGACGCAGGAGATCATGAGGTGCCTGGGTTTCAGGGAGTCAGGGCCTGTGGCTGTATGGCTTGTCTCTTGTGTCTGTGACTGGGCTGCAGAGCGTCGCACCACATTACTCAGCACAATTCGCAGCAGCCCGGCACAGCATTGGCAGCTTTTCCTGTTTCATCCCTGCCTGCGAATCCCTCCCCAGCAGCCAGTCGTCACTCGCCACCACCCATCCTCGACGTCTCTGCAACGGCGATCGCATATCGCATACGTGCTCTTATCCTTAGCTTCGTCATTTGTCCCACCACGCCGGAACTCCCTACTCCCGCATATTCCACTGCACCATCTATCGTAGCTCCCGTCATCATCATGCAAGACACTGACTACTCCGAGCCGGGGAAGCGCCGGAGAAGTAGGCACGGCGCTGTTCCTTGCGGACGGTTCCTGGCGCTCGATCTCGTTCCCCAGTCTCCCACTCTGTCTCGACGCTATTACGAGAGTCCTCCATCCGCATCCGAGTCATAGCTTGTTGCTGCACACATCATCTAGCTTCATGCAGAAGTCTGTACTCTGTGTTTGTGTCGCTTCAGAAGACGTCGAGAGTGTCAGCGAGCTTTCTACCGAGATAATAGCCAGAGAAGTGGACACCTCATCTCGGTGGACAGGCGGACCAAAAATCACGAGCAGGGAAATAGCGTTCACTACATGAATTAGGCTCAGGAACTAGGAGAGGACCGTTACCGGTCACCGGCTTGACGCATCGCAAAAGCAGCAGTCTGCCAGCAGCAGCAGAGCGACACACGCAAGTATGCAGGACAACCCAAGACAGAGATCAGGACTCTGGCCAACCGAGTAGAGCTGCAGACGCTCCCACCGCACTTGCGAGGACGGATCGCCTGTCGCACAAAGTCGCCAAGCAACCACGTTCTGCCGTGCATTCGGATCAGACATCGAACCGTTATCATCACACTTCCCATCACCTGTCTGGCTGTCTCACTCGATCCGTTCTTTCGTCTTCCATCTTTGTCTGTCTCTCACAGAAGACGAACACTTGAAAAGTCGAAGCGGACGACGACCGCATCGAGCGAGGGAAAAAAAACGAACGTTGAGAGAGCGATCGTTGCCGTTGGCCACCCGCGTTTCAGGCAGGACACACACTTTCCAGGACAAGCGCCAGGACCGGGCACAGCCAGGATTTGCCAGGATTCGTTGTTGGACCCTGTCGGTCCACCCATCGAGCCCTAACCGTCCCGCGGCCACCGCTGTGCGCTCGCATCGGCCATCCATCCCGACCACGCTGCCCGCCGTCGCAGCCAGCCAGCCAGTCTAATAACTACCACTTCTAGCATCGACGCCTTATTCCTTGCTGGTGTCGCCGTCGCGTCTGTTCGCCTGTCCGTTCATCACAAAGGTCAATCGCAACCCCTTCGTCTCTGTCTCCTTTCATTTGCGACTGCTCGACTCTTGACGGCCGACCACCCAGCAGCCTTTCGCACCGCTCTTCCTTACGCCCCCCGGCTCCCCCTTTTTCCACCTCGTTCAGCGAAATCACCCGCCTCGACGTAGGTCTGTTCTCCTCTCCTTTGAGCACAGACGCATTCCCCAGCCAGCCTGCGCGACCATCTTCGCAGACGAGCCTCCTCCCCCCCTTTTCGACTCGCCGTCTCGACGATCGTCACCAGCCCTGACCACGCCGTCAGCCGCAGGCTTGTCACTCGCAACCTTCATACTCCGACTACCGTCGACTAAGCCTTTGACCAACGCCGGTCACTGAATTCTTAGGTGAGTGTGCCGTGTTACAGAAGCTATGCGCAGAGGGCGCATGCGCAGCGCGCAGCTGTCTCGCACTGTCAGCGTCCAGCCGCGGTGGGACAGGCAGTCCGGAACACAATCGCCCCGTCCCCTGCCTGCATGACCGAGTGTGTCGAACGTGTAGCCTTTGTGTGCGAGTGTATCGTGTCACTCCGCTCGTCGACGCATCACTTGTCATCCGGAAGGAGTTGTTTTCCGTAACTTCCCACTGTTGCTTGGCCACATGATCATCTCCTGCAGGCTCGGTTTTTGAGGTCCGTGCTTTGCTTGGTTGGCGCATCGCACCCCGTGCGTCGTCTTGTCGTAGGCGCCATTGACGCCATCGACGCCATCGAGCCAAGTTTGCAGACTGATATGTCCAACGTATCCATTAGTAGTCGCGCAAGTTTGCTCCCCATCTCCGCTCTCCACTCTCCGTGCTCTCCCCTTCGCCCTGTCTATTATATTCTGACTATCCAGATTCCTTCGAAGCCGATTCGCCTTCGCCCACCTGCACCACTCTCATTAAACAACTTTCCTGCGCGCCCGTCCGCGTCACCCTGCTCCAGTTTTTGTCCGCCTGTTTCTGTGCATTCTGGCCATCGGGTCGCAACTGCTGCTGACTCGGTGAGACGCAATCGCCAGGTTTCGCCACCGCACAACAGTTCGAACAGCAGCGAAGCAGTGTCGTGGACCGCGCGCCTGACTTCATCTTTCAACCATGGGGGAAACACTTCGCACGCCACCGGCCTTGGGCCCTCGTATGCCCAAGAATGGGACGCTGATGGTTGACTACCCCGAACTCAACGTTGCCGAACCCCTACTCGACACGTACTCGCCGTTCCCGACCTTTGGCAGCGGCGACCCCTTTGGCCTCAACGCATTCCTTCTTCACCCCGCTGACCCGACCTTTGACTACCTCTTGACTCGCCCAATCGCGGGAGAGCTTCTCCCCGCCGACCAGCATGCCAAGGTGCCTCCAGGCCTATTCAACCAGCGCCTGACGCCTTCGTCCCTTCAGCCTCCAGGGCCGACTGCCAAGGACACCCGGCGCCGGTCACCGCTAGCTCTCGAAGTCAAGCCGGGAGATGACGAGGAGGAACAATCTGCCGACAGCAGCAGCATGTCACGACTGCGACCGATGTCGGTTGGCAACAGTTTGCGTGCCATGATCGGCCGCAAGTCTGCCGCCCCAGAGGCCGAGTCACCGATAGAGGAAGACGCCGCCTACGTCAGGTCTGAGTCTGTTTCCTCCGCCCTGTCGTCGAGCAGCTCGACGGACGGATCTGACGGTTTGAGGACACCCCGTGACAGCACCCACAACTCGCCCGATGAGACGAGCGCGGCCGCCGCCAAGCTTGCCGCTGCGCTTGCCGAAGACGATGAGCGACGCCCCAAGTCGGTCTCATGGCGCAACTGGCTGGGCAGCAAGAACAAGCGCGGATCGTTCCTCCCCTTCCGCAGCGACGACGCTTCCCCCAGCGAGTCTGGAACGACGCTCCAGGAGTCGCCGCGGGCCAGCGCCATCGACCTTGCAACCGAGGCTCCGGTTCCGGAGGGAATCTCGCGCTCCGCGATTCAGCTTAGGAGGGTGTCGCTGAACAAACTCGGATCTCTGCGTATGCCCTCGCCGCACCCATTGGCGCTCGTCCTCATGCGTCAGCGCGCCAACCTGCCTGACGAGGTTGCGTTTTCTATCCCGTCTTCGAAGCGCGTGTTCCCCATGTCCGTCAACGCGCACCAGGGCGTTGGATCTGACCTGATGCCGGCACAGGGCGGCCTCCGCCTCGCACTGGCCGTCCGCAACGTCATTACAAAGCTCGACGCGGGTGACCGTCCGCCAGAGCTCTCGCAGGTTAAATCTCGCCAGCCGCCTCGCCAAAATGCTATCCGTCCCCGCGGCGTCCGTGACTTTGTCGACCGCAAGCCGTTCGAGGAGCGCATGCTCGTCTATCACCCTGACGGCTCGTGCTCACAAATTTCCATGGCTCGCTCAGGCTTTGCCATCGAGGACCTCGACTTCTCTGACCACATTCTCGCTCTGATGCGCGGCCAGGAGACGCCGTCCAGCTCTTCCTCGTCGCTCTCCCAGCGCTCCAGTCTGGCGCCGACCCGGTCGCAGTCGACTAACAACCTCTCGATCCGCTCCCAGCCGCAGACCCGCATGTCGACTGTCCCCGCGACTGGCCGACCAGTATCATCCTTCCGCAAGCCCACCAAACCCGCTACCTGGGACGACAGCTCGGACGAGGAAGGCGACGTCCCTCCCTCCCGCCCTGTTGCTCTTCGATCGCAGACTGCTCCCGCCCGCGCCATCAACAAGAACGCTGTTAACCGAGTCTCCCGAGTCATGGACGCACAGACCGCGCTGGAAGTCGTCACCAAGGCACGCGAACGCCGCCAGGACAACGATTCGGGCAACGTTGAGCGCCGCCAGGTCGGAGCGGACATTACGCGCGAGCAGAGGCGGAAGAGCATGATGCCTACCTCCGTCTCGACCTCGGCTCTTGTTCAAAAGGACAGCCGTCCTGCCGCTCAGCAGCGCGCATCGAGCATGGCGATCACCGCGCTCAAGGCGAGGGACCAGACGTCGCGCAACCCCCGGGCACGCGCTTCCTCTGCGACGTTAGCCACCCGGGCTCGCGAGGATGCCCACGCCGAGGCGGCTGCCAAGCTCACCGGCAGCAAGACTGGCAGGAGCGAGCACCGCACTCGCTCACCTGCTCCCTCGCTGCCCGCGACGTCTCGATCGCAGGGCCGACACTCGCTCAACCCGTCTCTTAGGGCGAGACAGAGCACGATGGCGATGGGCATGTACCCGATGCCGATGGCGCCCGTTCCGACGGTCGCCATGTACGGATCGCCGATGATGGGCCAGCCCATGATGTTCACGCCGATGATGCCCGTCATGACTGGCCCGATGCAGCCGAACCACACGGCCATGTACCACCAGCCCCAGTACGGCTCGATGGTCCCGAACATGCCCAACTACCGCCCGCGACCTCCTGCGACTGGCCGCCGCCGCGAGCGCCCTGTCTCCTAAACCTCCCCGAATCATCCATACATCGTCAACATCCTCGCATTGTCACCTCATCCACCAGAGCCTCGTTGAGGTCTCCATTACTGTATACCCCGCACACACTATTTCCCGCCTGGCCCCAAAACACACACACGCCTAGCAGGTGTATCAACAGACACGGACTTTAATGCCCATTTACAGACGGACTTTCGATCCCTTACATAGTCACAGAGTCCCCCATTCCCCTCCCCCACCTTCCCTGTCAGAAACCTTCCCCCTTGCATGCTATACAGCCCCACACTTGGATTAGTGAGTTAAGTAGATTAGAACATTCGCAAATGGCCGGGTGCCTCTTGAATGCATTCGTTGTTCGCGCGTGGCTATCACAACTTGGCGTCCCTGCTCTCCTTCTTGCCAGAGGAGTACTGCTGTCAGCGAGAGCTGGGAGGTTGACTCACGTCATAGAAGCCCTTGCCAGATTTACGTCCGATCTCTCCCTTCTCGACCATGTCGGCCATCATCTTGGTCGGAGCAACGAGCTCCGCAGGCAGGAGTCCGCGCTTCGCATACTCCTGCCATCCGAGGGTGAGGTAATGTGTCGTGTCGATCCCGGTCAGGTCGAACAACTCAAGCGGCCCCATGGGGTATCCCGCCCCGAGCTTCATAGCGGTATCAATGTCCTCTGCCGTCGCGTCTCCGCGCTCGAGCATGCGCACAACCTCAACTGCGCGTCAGCTTGCACGTCACGTCCGACGTACGTTTATACGGCACGTTGAGCCGGTTCATGATAAACCCCGGCGTGTCTTTACACTTGACGGGAGTCTTGCCCAGTCGCTTGGCCAAATCATACAACAACTCAAAGCTCTCCTCGCTGATTTCCTGAGTCCGGGGCACTTCGACGAGTTTCATGACTGGGACAGGATTGAAAAAGTGCAATCCGCCAAAGCGCCTCTTACGTTCGGGCGAGACCTTGGCTGCAATCTCGGAAATGAGGAGGCCAGAGGTATTACTTGCGAACACGGCTGTGGGCGGTGCCAGCGAGTCCAACGATGCGAACAGGTCCTGCTTGGCCGACAACTTCTCGACAATCGCCTCGAGAACGACCTGCGCGTCCTTCACTGCTGTGGCGGGATCCGTCGTCGTGCGGATGTTCCCGAGCACGCGGGCCGAGAAACCGTCCACGTCCTCCGGGGCCAGTTTCTTCGCTACGCGCGGCACGCTCTTGGAGATGATGTCGAGGCCATTGCTGACGTCAGTCTATGTCTGGAGAAGAGACGCACGCCAATGCCTTGTCCGTCACGTCGGTCAGCGTCACCTCGATCCCGGCCTGGGCTGCGACTTGCGCTATGCCCGCGCCCATGAGCCCGGCACCGAAGACGGTGAGCCGCTTTATGTCTGCCGCGGGGCCGGTGTGCGTCATGGTCGAGAGGAGACGCGTTTGTGATGATCGTGCAAGGGCTGCTCGGAGAAGCATGGTGCGATGCCTTGAACGGATAGTGCATAGTTGCTGCTTGAGGTCGGGAGTCGGCATCTCGGCTTCATGAGTCGGCGATCGCCGACACGCCCACCGCTGACATTCCGTCCAACGTCAGTTTACGGCCGTGCGTTGTCCAAGCGAGGACACTTCGTTTGCATACAAGCATTATTCAAACCACGGCATTAATGATGGACATTAACTTCTTTCTCCCGTTCTCTCATTCCTCAATCTCGCGCTCGCGTCTGCGTCAGACGAGCTGAGCGAGCGCCGCTACATGCCTCCGCTCGGCGCCGCTACCATGGGAAATGTGGCGGGGCTGTTCCACAGCCGCTATCTCAGCTGTACAGCTGCTCAGCTGTTCAGTACTGCCCCTGCATGGTCTGAGTGGTCTGGGCGGGCTGCGCCTGCGGCGGGTCCGGGAATCGGTCGGCGAGAGGGGCAGACTGGCCGCCTTGCTCGGGCGCGAGCTGCTGTGCCGAGACGGGCGCTTGGCCCTGCTGGTTGAGTTGCTGGCCGGCAACGCCCTGGTGCAGCTGGCCTTGCTGGAGGCCTTGCTGGGGGACGCCTTGCTGAAGGCCCTGCTGGGGTACGCCCTGCTGAGCGACACCTTGCTGAGCAATGCCTTGTTGGCCGGGGATCTGCTGGCCCTGCTGAGCAAGACCTTGCTGCTGGATGCCCTGCACGCCCTGTCCGGCAACTCCTTGGGGGGCCTGGCCAGCGACACCCTGCTGGACTCCAGCAACACCGCCGGCGACGCCCTGCTGAGGAACCTGCTGGCCCTGCCCGACGATACCACCTTGCTGCTGGCCAGGCGGGAGGGCATGCTGGGGTTGATTCGCGTGCTCCTGCGGCAGCGCATGCTGAGGCTGGTTGACGTGCCCCTGGGGCAACGCGTGCTGGGGCTGGTTGATGTTCTGCTGGGGAAGCGCGTGCTGCGGCTGGCCGGCGTGCTCCTGGGGGAGGGCGCTCTGCGTCTGCTGCGTGTGCTCGGTGGGGAGGGCGGCGCCCTGCTGCTGCTGCGCGGCGTGCTGACCCGCAAGACCGGCGGCACCAGCAGCGCCTCCCGCAGCGGCGCCGGCGCCAGCGGCGGTGCCAGCGCCAGTACCAGCTTGCTGGCCAGCCGTGTTCACACCCTGCTGGCCTGGCGCGGGGTCACCGCCACACGCGACAATGCCAACGACCTCGGCCGGACTGGCGTCAGCTGAATCGTTCCTCTCGCTTACCGCTCCCCGGCAAGCGGGACTGCCTCGATCTTCTTCACGACGTCCCATCCGCCGACAACACGGCCAAACACGACGTGCTTGCCGTTCAGGAACTCGGACTCGGCGAGCGTGATGAAGAACTGGCACCCGTTCGTGTTGGGCCCCTGGTTTGCCTGGCGTCAGCGTGTTGGGCTCGGTGACTCACCATCGACACCAGTCCCTTGGCGCTGTGAGGGACGGTAAAGTTCTCATCGGCGAAGGGCCCGCCGTAGATTGACCAGATGCCCGTGCCGTCGCCGTTGATGATGTCGCCGCCCTGGACCGTGAAGCCGGGCACGACGCGGTGGAACGTTGCGCGCTCGTAGCTGCGTCCGCACTCGCCGGTGCACAGCTGGCGGAAGTTCTCCGCGGTCCTGATTGTCAGCTAGATTGACGATGTGGCGCACTTGGGGACAATGTCGGAGAACAGTTCTGATGTCAGCGCAGTGGACACAAACAACGTACCAATCTCAATGCGCTTGGTGTCATTGGAATCCTCGCCGCGCACAACGTCAAGCCACACCTTGGGCCGGACAACACCCTCGGGTGCATTCAGACTCTTGTGCAGGTCGGGCGGGAGGAAGTGCTTGTGGAGACTCTGCTTGACCTTGTTCAGCATGGTGATGGATGATGGAGCGGAGTCAAGAGTTGCAATCGATGGAGCTGGAATCCTGGGACCATATATGGTCATCGGCTCTCCTTGCGTAGCATGGGAGGCCAGATGAATCGCAGCAAGCGAGCGAAAGGAGAAATAGATCGGCTATTACCCACTCACAGGGTATGACGTAGTGCTCGCTGTGGTCGGGCATCTCGGCCTCACCCGGCCTATCATCGCCATCCACACGGTTGTATGCTCTAGAGGGAAATACATTGTCTATACTGGACATCAAGAATAAAATGCTAATACTTGTAAAATACACCGGACTACCACCCATGACTTTGTCGCGTCCGCGCCATTGTCGACACTGTCGCCTCGACATAGCTCTGGTTCCCAGACGAGACAGCCGTCAGACTGCCAGCCGAGTACTCATAGTACTCGCGCTGGACCACGGGCGACTGGGCGCGGGGATACCCGAGGTTAGCAGCTGGAGACTGCGGCCGTCCAAATTGCGTCTGGGGCGACTGCGGTCGTAAGGCCTGGTGCGTCGGAGAATAGATGTCGGGATAAGATGATGGGGGCGGATAAGGTGGTGCTGGGCCCATGGCAGAAGGAGGGTATGTTGGGGCGCCTGCCGCGGCTTGCGGAGGTGACAACCGGCGCGTGTTTGGAGGGTAGGACAGTCCGGGCGCTGCGTGCCCGAGGTTGCTGTCGTGGTCGTCGATCGTGTAAGAGTCGTAGATGTCGTCGAGGTTGGCATGCTGGACCGGCGGCGCCGTGAGCGAGATCTCGGACGCGTTCCAGTGGTTTGGGCCCTGGGTGATGCCGCCCTTTGGCGCAGCCCAGTTGGGACCGGGAGAGACGCGGCCGCCAGGAGGCATGGGCGGCTTCTCCTGCATCGCCCAGTTGGGACCTGGAGACACACGACCTCCTGGGGGAAGAGGCGGCTTCTCCTGCAGAGCCCAATTGGGCCCGGGCGATACACGACCACCGGGCGGGACAACCGCACCGGGAACGGGCGACCCAGACCGCAGGAGGTTCGTCTTGGACCCAACGTCGTCGTCGTCCAGAGAGATGTTTGGCAGGGTCGGGCGAAGGAGAGCAGCATCGACAATCTCGCCCGTGGCGACCTTGACTTTCCCGCCCATAGCGAGCTGCTGCTCAATCTTTGCGTTGCGCTTCATTCGGTCTTTTTGCAGGTTGCGCATGACCTTGCCGAGACGCTTGTCGACCTTGTGACAGACGTACTCCTTCAGGTTGCCCTGGATGTAGCAAAGGAGGGGGAGGTAGAGAGCACCAGACAGGAGAATCTTGGCGAGGCCAAAGGCGAACAGGACGACGGTCGTCACCATGGCCCAGAACAGGAGCGCTGTGATCACCGAGTTGTCCCAGTATTGCGGGAGATAGTCAAACGAAAAGTTGAAGTTTTTGGCGATTGTGTAGAGGATGAGTGCGTTGATAGACTGTCTCGGGCCGTCTGACAGGATGACTCGCTTCCAGTCCTGGAACGAGAAGAAGACAAAGAACGCGACGCTGTCCTTTTTCTTCTTTGATTCACCAATATGCCGGAAGAGACAAAACTTGTTGTAGTCGCGCACGGAAACCCAACGGTTGGCCATGACGTTGGTGAAGCAGTACGAGATGTCGCGGGTCGCAATGACGCGACTGGCACGGTACATCTCCCAGCCCAGCAGGAGGAAGGAGAAGAAGATGCAGCCGCAAAACACCCACTTGGCGATGCCGAACTTGACCGTGATCGGGCAGTTGCCGCTTTCGCGACAGTGGTTGTCGGCCGAGGCATAGACGGCGTTAGTCCAGTTGGTGGACACCAGCATGGTGACGGCCGTGAAGATGTCAAGGCCGAGGATCACGACGTCCTTTGCGATCGACCCGAACACGGCGAGCCACATGATTCTGGTCCAGCAGTCATCACGGCGGAATTCTTGAACATCGACATAGTCCCACTGTCGTTAGCTGTTGTTTACTTGACTGCTCACCTTGTAGTCTTGCACTGCCTCTCGCTTCCACTCGGACGAGCAGCAGCCCATGGTGAAGTAGAGAGAACCAACGTCGAGAAGAGTGTTTTGATGTCGGGGTCAAGGCCAGGGAGGGACGTGCGAGACACAATCGTTTGAGAGACCTGCACACAAACGGTAGGTAATTCGTTTCGATCGATCAGCCAGTGACCGGTGGGGCGTATTCTGTCGGGCTAGCTGCCAGCAGACGAGTCGTGCAGTGATTAAGAGGATGCGGTGACGGCTTCCAGCGCTCGTGTACGACCTTTGGTTATAGCGGGGAGGGCGGGGAACAGTGCGTCGACCAGCGACGGAGGCGGGTGCGGGCGGGCCAGGGGAGGTGGAGGCTTCGACCGGCGAGGCGCTCTGCGTTGTAGAGGGTCGAGGTGAGATCAAGCGCGCATCAACACTGTCGGGGGAGGGGACAGTAGCGTAGCGAGTTGAGAGGCGGAAGGAGTGTGAGGTAAGGAGAGACGACGAGTTGGGATGTGAGTGTGACAGCAAAGACGACGCTTTGGATGAGATCTCGACCTGAAGGCCGTGAGCTGCGGCTGTGTTCAGGTTGAGAGAGGAGTGCAAGGTGCTCTTTGTGAATCTTCGGCGGCCCAGACCATCAGACGGTTCTGGCCATGCTGGCCAGGCGGGGAAGCCAGGCGCGCAATGGTGGACAGTGCCAACCTGGAACGAGGGACCCTCACGCCCTCTGGCGCCTCACGCGCCGCACCCATCGCCCCCTCAATTCCTTCAAGTGCTCTAACGCGTCCCCCGGACCCTTAGGACCCTGGCACCCTTGCGTCCACTTTACACTCTACCGGCCCGGCCCGCCCTGCCCTTGCCGCATCAGCCTGCATTCTTTCTGCACATGATCGAAGGTTCAAGCCAGCCTGCAATTCCTGCAACTATGATTCGCATTATTACGTTCAGATGCACGAAAATTCATCAAGGACAGTCGGCGGAAATCAGGTGGCTCAAGCGCAGTCAAGGTGGCCGAGTGGGGCGCAGGGGGGACTTGTGGCCGTATACCGCATGCGGCCAAAGTGACCTGCCGATCTGGGCGGGGAACGAGCACCGAAAGGGACTGCCGGGGAGGTATTAGGAACCAGTAGGCACACCGCACGCAGACATCGCGAGCCGTATATGATTTTTGCCACCAGTCGCAACGATAGGATGCAGCCAGCATTCAGCAGTTAGAGAGTTTAGCTGCCCTCTACAAGATGTATCGCAGCCGGCCTCGGTGATCCACTCTTCCAGTCAAAGTGCGGATATGAAAGTGCAGACTGAGCGCCAGACCGCACAGTGGGTCAAACCCATGTTATCTCATTTGTCCCCGCCACCTCCCACATGGCTTTTTCGCGAGTCGACCAGGTGCAGTGCTCGACTCCTTCGTCACACCACTCAATTCTTCACCACAACACCATGGGACGCGGAGGATCTTCATCGCGCGGAAGGGGGTGAGTAACCGTGTGCATGCAACTGGCCTTGCAATCTCTACGCTGGTGGGCCCTGCTGACGATCAAGAAAGTTCAAGGTCGCCCGTGGAGGTGGTCGTCACTTCTCACGTGACCTCGACCCCCGCTTCCAGCAGCCCGTCGAGTCGTCGTCTGAGGAGGAGTCTTCCGAGGAAGAGTCGTCCGAGGAGGACGAGGTCGACGCCAAGCTCGCGCCGTCGATGGCGGCCGTCAACCTGAAGCTCGGCAACACGGTCGCCGCCGACGAGCCGGACGAGGAGAACATGACTCGCGCTGAGCGCAAGGCGCTCAAGAAGAAGCAGGCCGAGGAGGCCGCGCAGAAGAAGGCCCAGAAGCTTGCTGCCGGCGAGGACGACTCGGAGGAGGACGACAGCGACGACGAGCTCCTCAACCCTTGGAAGAACCGCGGCCCGAGCCGACGAGAGCGGTGGGTACGGCCTTGAAAACTTAGCTGACCCGTTAGTGAGGAGGCCGCCAAGAAGGCCGCTCAGGAGCGCGCCGCCAAGGCTGCCGCCGCTGGCAAGACGGAGCAGGCCAAGTCGGACCTGGCCCGTCTCCAGGAGATTCGCAGGAAGCGTGAGGCCGCCGCCGCCCAGCGCCAGGCCGAACAGGAGGGTGAGTGTAATGTTGTTGGTAATGCTGACAGGACAGAGGCCGCCCGTGAGGCTGCCGCCAAGAAGGAGAAGCAGACCGCGAAGAAGTAGAGTGTTTCTGTATTGTGCATGTTCTATAGATACTTGATGCCAAGCAGCATAAAACAAGACTATGCCTCCTGGCCCGCAATCAGACGCTCGCCCTTGATCGTGTCTCCCGGCTTGGCCTCGAACCCAGGGCCAAACTCGCAGTCCTTGATGTTGGCCTTCTCTCCGATACGCACGTGAGGGCAGAGAATGACATTCTCGAGCCTCGCGTTCTCCTCGACCGTGACCCAGTCCCAGAGAACACAGTTGGTGAGCTTGGCGCCACGGCCAATGTTGCAATGCCGTCCGACGATACACTTTTTGATGCTTGCTCGGTCGCCAACACGCGAGCCCTCTCCAACGAGCGAGTCGGGAGAGATTTGAGCCGACGCCGAGATTTCGTCGGCGGGTCCACTGGGCTGCTGGGGCTGGTGAGAGAGCGGCGTGCTGTGGACACCCTTCGAGTTGCCAGCCTGGGCGGCGGCATGCTGAGCAGCGAGATTGCGAACAACCCGCCTGTTGACCTCCCAGTAGCCGGGCAGCGAGTTGGCGCGGATAATGTACTCTGGCTCGGGTGCGGTCGACTTCTTGCCCTTCTCCGGGACCTCGGGCACCTCGGGACGGTGGATGATGACGCGACACGTGAACGGAATCGGCTCGCGACGGCGACGCGCAGACTTGCCACCCCGGGTGACGTTCGCCTTGAAGTCTGCAAGCTCCTCGCCGTCAGTGATGCCCGATGGCAGGGGGGTGTGGTCACTGAGCACGGATGACGGGGCCGACAGCTCCTCGATCGCTCGGGCCTGCTTGTACGACGTAGCGGTCGATCGCAGAAGGGCCTGCGCCAGCGGATCGCGGCGCGGCGGGCAAAGAACTAGAGTCAGCAATGTAACCAACTCTACACTCACTAGGCGCCCATCGGTGACCGAGACCTTCCTGCCAGGCTCCCTTCACCAGCCAGGGAACAAACTGCTCGCGAACAGAGCTCAGGTCCCTTCCCCTTCTCGTGGCCAGGAGGTCCAGAACGGTGCGGCGGAAAACGTAGACGTGGGCGTCCAGCAGTCGGGTGCTGAGCGAAAGGGACGGGTGGGACTCGAGCAGGCTCATTCGCACGGAAAAGTCCTCCTCCAGCGTTTCGAGCGGCTCGATCAGGAGGAGCTCGTCGGTCTCCTTGTCGGTAGCAACGAGCAGCTTTTCCTCGCTGTCCTTGACAGACTCGGTCGGCTCGTAGAAAACGGAAGTCAGCACGGCGTCCGGGCGCGCGCGGTGCTTGTCCAGAATCGAGGCGAGCGTGAGGTTGGACGGGAAAGACAAATCGCACGGAAGGAGGACAAAGTCGGACTACAGTCAGCAATACTCGAAACATGATCTCACCTTGATGTAACTCCTAAACTGCTTCAGCAGACGCGCCGTACCAATCTTTTCATTGTCCTCCTCGTCCTCGTCGTCTTCGCCGTCGGTGTAGTTCTTGAGCGTAATGTGCAGTTTGTTGTTGCTCGAGTACTCGAGTTGCAGGTGCTCAGAGATCGCAGCCTCGGACTCGGGCGGAACGAGGATGAGCACGTCGGTCAGTCCGGCGTCAAACACCCAGTCCAGGACAATGTTCACGATGGGCACGTTTCCGACAGGCATGAGAGCCTTTGGGAGAACGTTTGTTCCCTGGTTGAAGGGGTAGAGGCTGTTGTCAGCTTGATCGTTGGTGCGACTCACTTTTCGCCGTTGCCAACAAGGACGACGGCCATGAAGTCCTGCGTGGACACGGCAGTCCTCTTCTCCGACTGGACTTGCGCCCCGATCATGCTGGACGACATGTTGCGCGCGACGATGGTTGAGTGTCGAAACGGTGGAGGAAGGACAATGACAGGAAAGGCACGAGCCAACGCGAAATGAGTCGGTCGTGAAATTAATGCGCGGCGGTAACATTTCGGATGTCGTCACTGCACCATGTCCCAGCCTGAACAGAAAACACAAACCAAGACCGACGCCCAGGCGAAACCTGAGGAGAAGCCATGGCAGGATTGCCTGTGAGCACTTGGACGTATTCATGCTGATGCTCAGGACGTGCAAGCTCACTGGTGCGGCCGCCTTTTCTGGTGTAGGCATCTACGCGCTGATGGAGGCCAAGAAGCAGGGAGCCTTTAGCAAGGTCAGGCCAAAGGGCGCGCCGATCGTCGGCGGGCCTGTCACTGCAGCCTTGGGTGTCGGTGAGTGCAAGGCGGACGCTCATGCTGATGATAGTCTTCCTCACCCTCGGCGTCAGAAGGTTGTTCATTTGATCAAGATATAGCATTACATACAGCACAACTCTATTGTATCTAACGTCACCGTACATGTACTCTACAGCGACATTCAAAACACGGGAGCGTCCTTGAGGAAGAGACGCGACTCCTCGGCCGCGACCCACTTGGCAACCCGGTTGGCGGCGCCTACGACAGCGCTCATGGACAGCTTTGGCGACACGGCCACGTAAAGTTCGAAGGGCTTCGTCAGCCACCCGAGGACTGCTTCATTGTTGGTAGCAAGGTAGACGAGCTTTAGCGGTGTTTGCTGGCCGGAACGGGCGTACAGCGCGTCCTGTGCCCGTTGGTACAGCGTGATGAGTCGCTTGCGATCTGCAGAGTCTGGCCCATATGGCTCCTCCCATTCCGGCGCCGTCGACTGTATCAGGCCGCGCGACTTGTACACGAAATGCCTTAGACCCGGGGCGCCAATCGCACCTGGCGTTAGCTGGGAAAAGCTGTAACACTCACCGACCGCGTAGCTGTGCTGCTTGACACAGGCTTCAATCTTCTCCAGCGAACCATCCTTGATAAGCTGCGCCTCGACGCTGACGCGCCATTGCGACAGGGACTCGAACGCATTGCGGTCGGCACTAATGAAGACTAGCCCGACAGAGTCGGTCACGTAGCTGATGTAGGCGTGGACAAAGCCGGCCGTGTTAAACTTTGGCAGACAGACCGGCAGCCATGTGTCTATCGTTCGCAGCGACGAAGACGTCTGGAGCATGTTGATTAACAGGTGCATGTCTGCGGTCAGCACGAACAGGCGAAGAGGACAAACCCGCGGGGTGAATGGCGTGGCGACGTGGTCGCAGCAGCGTCGCGATCTTGCCGTCCGCAATGAGAAGCACGTAGAGTAGGTCCTGCTGTCAGCCATGCGATGCGGGAGACATACCTTGAATTTGGACGGTGGCATGAGCGCTGCCGCTGCAGTGTCGCGCAATGCAGGCGGCATGCGCAGCACTTCCAGAGTCGACGTCATGAACGTGAGATTATCCTGGCACGATCCGACGAGGTGCTTCAAAAAGCCCTCGGAGCCCTCCAACAGTCTTGAGGGGTCAAAGTTGGATCTCCTTTGGAACGCGCGCTGCAGTTGCGCCGCCGACACGACGCTAAGAATCTGCAGATTCATATACTCGAGGTGCATGCGGAGCTGCGGTCAGAGCAATTCACCATGTGCGACTCACGATGTACTCTGGCTCGCCCCAGTCGGAAACCGCAAAGAAGTAGAGATTCTCCTTGATATTGAAGACGACCTTGCTGTCGCCGTGCTTGATCATTCGCGGGGCATCATCCTCCGTTTGGAAGATCGAAATCAATGCTTGGGCTACTCCCATCATATTTGTGAGCGAATCCTCGTCTTCGCCATGGTTTCTGCGGTCAGCTGAGAACGCTCGTACTCTCACAATGCGAAAACAGGCTTGCCTGCGTTCGTGAGGACATAGTAGCGTCGTGGACTGAACGTCTTGGTATCTTCCGGCGACAGAACAGAGACATCTGCACGTCAGACTAGCTCAAGCAACCCTGCTCACCCTTGGCCGAGATGGCTGAGGAGCTTGCTCGTGATCGCCCCGGGCTCGGGCGCCACGACTTTTCTCGAAGCAGCTGTTGCCGCAGCTCACTCCTTGCGTCGGAGGACACGGAGAGCTTTCCTACGGCTTCCTCGTCTTGAGCTTGTAGCTCTTTGCCCTTGCCTTTCGATCGCACATCGGGTGTTGGGGGTGTGCTGGGGAGTAATCGCGGGGACGGCTCGCCAGGAGAAGCGATGGCGCTAGCGGCGGAAACGGTCGCCTTGGACGGGGTAAGCGCCAGAGGGTACGGCGAGCGAGCGCGCGGGGGCGTTGCAGGGGTCGAAGTCCCGGAGCATGGCTCTCGCTCCGGGGCCTCTGCGCTCATTGTTGGTGAAGGATGGTGGATGACGCCAAGAGATGAGCGCGTCGTAGTTGCCGACCACATGCCGCGGATCCGATGCCGCACCTCCACCCTGGACAGCCTACATAGTCCGCGCCACTGACACCGAAACCTTCAACTTGCTCACTCACCACTCTCGACACTCATGAGGATTCTGGGTCATGTGCGGTGGCCACGTCCTGTCCTATTGCTGCTAGCGTCGGCGGTGATCGCAGGCTGGTACCTGTACCTCGTCCCGCGATCACAGTGGGTAGGACTGTTACCTTCCACTGCATCGCGGGCCGAACAGGTGCCGGTCGCGAGCCCCCGACTGCAAGCCGTGCTCGATGGACTGCAGGCAAACCTGACTGCCGTCTACGACAAGCACAATGCGACGGTACCCCCGGCAGTGTACCCATCGCAAGCCCTCACCGACGCCCAGCTCGAACGATATCGACATTTGCAGACGCCTTCCCTGACCCGGTCCGCCCGCATTCAGGCCAATGCTCTTGGTCGTACGCCGCTACCGAAATACATGTTCACGACCCTGACGCGCAACATTGGCGAATCGCTTCCAGATCTGCTCGTCGCGCTTGCGACTGTCATCGACTTTGTTGGGCCGGAGCACACGAGCTTTTCGATTCTCGAAGGTCCCAGCGACGACTTGACGCCGGTCGTGCTGGAGGAAGTGCTGCGTCCGCTCTTGCGGCACCTGAATGTGCCAGACTCGGCCGTTAGCATTGTCACGAATGCACCAAAGGTGCAGTGGAACGAGGTCAACCGCATTGAAGAGCTCGCAAAGCTCAGGAACCAGGCGCTGGAGCCGCTGTGGGCAGACAGCTCGAAGCAGTACCTCGCAAGCACGCCCGAGCACAAGCGGCGCACAGTCGGCACCGATGTCGCGGCTGTCGTCTTCTTCAACGACGTCTTCATCCAGGCGAGCGACTTTTTGGAGCTGCTGCACCAGCACTTTGTGAATGGCCAGGGAAACCCAGGGGTCGGTATCACGACCGCCTGGGACTGGATGGCGCGCGAGCCGGCACACTTTTACGACGTCTGGGTTGCAAGGACTGTGAGTTGACGTTTCGAATGTTGCTGACGTTAGATTGACTCGGGCGACCTGTTCTACCCCATCCGCGGCGAGTGGTGGACCCCGTCGGAAGAGATCCTCGACAGCTCTCCCAAGTCCCGGGCCGCCTTTGAGACTCTCACGCCCTTCCAGGCGTTTAGCAGTTGGAATGCGATGGCCGTATTGTCGCCAACACCATTCTTGCCGCCTTTCGGTGTGCGCTTCCGCCGCTCACGGACAGACGTGGACGAGTGTGCCGCGAGCGAGTGCACGCTGATCGCGTCCGACTTTTGGAAGTACGGGTGGGGGCGTGTTGAGGTCGTCCCGGCAGTCCAATTGGCCTACTCGCACAAGGTTGCGGTAGACACCGCACTCGCACTGAAGCGGCGAAAGGCGATCCTGGGCTGGCATGATGGCGTACCACCCTCAAATTACGATGGCCGCATCAAGTGGATCAAAGAGGCGCCACCCAAGATCCGCTGCCATCCCTGGCCCGAGCAGAACGGCTTGGAAGCGAACGTATGGAAGACGACCAGGTGGGTCGCACCCTACCTGTTGTAACATAGACATGCAACATTGTGATATGATTGGGGTGTTCTGCGTCAGCCGCCCCAGAGATGGGAGCACTGTACGGTTGTAATACGGATGTGAGCAGTCAAACTAAAGCTACGTAGAAATCAGCAACGCACTGACATGAGACGGGAGCCCGAAGCAGAGCGAAGCGCGCAGAGTTCAGCCCGCCTGGCTTTCGGGCTAGAAGGGATGTCCTAATGCTGGTAGGGTGCTGGAGACTCGAGACGCGCGAGGCCGCCTAGGTCAATAAGGGCTTGGCGGCGCGATAACGAAAATCGGCGCACCGTGAGATTATGGCGGAATGGAAACGGGCAAGCGTGGCGCGAGTGTGTCGGTTCCCATATACTTGCGCCAAGAGAGGTGGTAGCCCGATATAGTGGCAGCGATCGACTCGCGACGAATATCATACGGAGTGGCGGCAGCCGGCCCATTACCCCGCCGAGATCAGAGATTAGGAGTTCGACGGATGATTACGACATAAAGGGCATGGAAAACATCAAATGTAGCTCTACAAAATTTGCTGAGTAGCGTGTCTTGCGAGCGATGAGCGCGGGCGTAGCGCGACAACGTCGAACTCGATGCCGGTCGGTGTGCAGCTCTAGCACATTTGACTTGGGACACTGGTAGTCGATGGGGCATCTCGGCCTCTTGGCAGCAACAGAGGACAGTGACCTGCCAACAGAGTAAGAAACACAAGGTCAAATTAGACTGGGGAGTGTTGCGCCGACGCGAACATCGTCGAAGACGACAGAGCGATCGGCAATGGGGAGCCCGATGAACCCTGCGAGGACAAGCAACCTCAAGAAATCCTCGGTGCTGGAATGATAACATGAGCTCTGAAGCAGCCTTAGGTGGCGTCTAGACAGACATGTGCCTCGAACAAACGCCCGATTAGGCTCAGACAAGGGTCGCGCGTGAGAGGGATGGGTTCATTAAGAAGGCGCTTAGGTCAAAGTGTGCTTGACGCAGAAGCAATGGGGAGAGTCTGCAGACGTAGCAAGCAGTTCCGTCAGTTCCGGTCCAATGATCGATGTCACTTTAATGAGGCTGTGGGATACCACCTTCCACATCTAGGATTGCTACAACGAGCAGCGCCCGGAGCGACCGACTACCGCTCCAATGCGCCTAGCGTCAACGCGGCGAGTGAACTGTTCGCGGCAGTACACAGTCGTCCACAACAGATGAGGAGTCGGTTGATCGGAAGAAGCCCGGAATAACTAAGGGTTGGCGGGGCTATATTGGGCGGATCGGCCTAGACGCATCGCTGGAAGAACTTGAGTCCGAGCGGACGCAGCTTCCGACAGTCTGGATCGGAACTTGGGACGCCACACGAGATTGGGAATCCGGGTGCATGCCGAGTGACTACAAGAGCTCAAAGCTGTGATTGACTGATCACCTGGCACGCTGGTGCTCCAGAGCACATGGCCAGATGACTTTGCCTCCAGCTTCGGACGGACTGCGCTCGTACTGCACGAGGACCACCTGAATGCCTTCCGACGCGTGCCTGGCTGTCTCGATCATCATGCATCAAGAGCAAACTTTCATGGTTACGAGGACCGACTCTCCTCGCGAGGGGTGACTAACCAAGCGGCCAACGGCATGTCACGTGAGTCGGCTGATCTCGATAGCCGGAAAAAGGTGCGAGGGTGAGTCGATTGCAGCAAAGACGCCGCATGGCCGCATGGACTGTCGCGCTTAGCGCGCGTTATCGGGGGTCGAGGCGGGCCGCGGTTGGCCAGAAGACTGGTCGAGACAGGGCTGCAGCGGATATTGAGCAAAAGTTGGGCCGCTCAAAGGCGTTCTCGCGTGCACCATCGGTGAAATTCCAGAGTCGACCAGCTTGCGTCATGCAGACGAGTCTAGGGCTGCGCACGCGGCGATTGGCCTGCGCACGCAGGGATATGCAATGCGACTACTGATAATAATTTTTCGCCCCTCGGACCATGGCCTGGACGCCTGCTTCAACGCCACCCGCCAAGCGCCTACGCGGAAGAAAGCCGGGTGAGATGTCGACGGAATCAGATGAAAAAAAGTTTGGATCGGTGACTCGCGACTGTACTCGGCATCGTTGTTGCTTTCGTTTCTTCTCTTCTTTCTTCTCCTCTCTCCTCTCCTCTCTCTGCAATGCAACTAGCTACTATCGTCGCTTCGGTGCTCGCTAGAAGCAGTGCTAACTGACCCAACAGCACGGACAGGCTCCCTTTTTCCCAAAAATCGCTCCACAGCGACCCTCAATTCAACCGCAAAAAAATTCCGTAACCCTTCCTTTTCAAGCCTTCCTCTGTTGTCGTCGCTTTCGACGTTAGACATCCACCAAGATGGTCTCTTCTTCGCACGACGAGACCAAGCCGACCGGTGGCTCCGGCCTCCTCGCCCGCAAGACGACCGTCCAGGTCCCTAGCCCCAAGCTGCCCCTCGGCTCGCTGTACCCCCCTGCGTCCGGCAAGGGCGTCGACTTTATGGCCGGCGAGACCGACTGGAACGACGCCATGGGCGAGGGCGACATGGTCCTCGAGCTCGCTGATGGTCTTGCCCTCTCGGGTCACTCGTTCGGTGCCCACAAGAGCGTTTCCGGCGAATGTGTTTTCCAGACCGGTTAGTCACCGACATCTGCTCACCGATGTTTTCCTGTGGCTGACGAGAACAGGTATGGTTGGCTACCCCGAGTCCCTTACCGACCCGTCCTATGAGTCTCAGATTCTCATCCTGACGTACCCTCTGGTCGGCAACTATGGAGTTCCCGAGCGCGAGCAGCACGATGCTGCCGCTGCGCTCCTCGACAAGCTTCCCCTCGAGTTTGAGGCGTCCAAGGTTCACGTCGCCGCCCTCATCATTGCCAACTACCACCCCAGCTTCTCGCACCACCTGGCCAAGTCTAGCCTCGGCGAGTGGCTCAAGGAGCAGGGCGTCCCCGCCATGTGGGGTGTCGACACCCGCATGCTCACGAAGCGCCTCCGTGAGGGCGGTTCCACTCTGGGCCGCGTCCTCGTTCGCAAGGAGGGCGTCCTGAACAAGGTCTCTGGCCTCCTCTCGGGCTCCAACGACTGGAGCGCCAACTTTGAGACGATTCCGTTTGCGGACCCGAACAAGGTCAACCTCGTCGCCAAGGTGTCCACGAAGCAGCCCACCGTGTACACGGCCCTGACTGGCGTCGAGCCCGTCCTGAACCCCAAGACGGGCAAGACTATCCGCGTGCTCGCCGTGGACGTCGGCATGAAGTGGAACCAGATCCGTTGCTTCCGCAAGCGCGGTGTCGAGGTCAAGGTCGTCCCCTGGGACTATGACTTTAACAAGGAGGCCGGCACCTACGACGGTCTGTTCATCTCGAACGGTCCCGGCGACCCGTCCATGGCGACCGCCACCATTGAGAACATCAAGGTCGCGCTCCAGACCTCCAAGGTCCCCATTTTCGGTATCTGTCTCGGCCACCAGCTGATCGCCCTTGCCTCTGGTGCCCAGACCCGCAAGATGAAGTACGGCAACCGTGGCATGAACATTCCCTGCACGTGCGCGACCTCGGGCCGCTGCTACATCACCTCGCAGAACCACGGTTACGAGGTCGACGTCAGCACCCTGCAGGACGGCTGGGAGCCCCTGTTCACCAACGCCAACGATGGCTCCAACGAGGGTATCTGGACCGGCAAGAACGGCAAGCCCTTCTTCTCCGTCCAGTTCCACCCCGAGTCCGCCCCTGGACCCCGCGACACCGAGTTCCTCTTTGATGTCTTTATCAACAGCATTGTCGCTACCGCCGCCGAGGGCCGTCTCGTCTCGATCGACATGCCCGGCGGTGAGCTCTCGGTTCACCGCAAGCGCCTCCCCAAGGTCAACGTCAACAAGGTCCTCGTTCTCGGCTCTGGTGGTCTCTCCATCGGCCAGGCCGGCGAGTTTGACTACTCTGGTTCCCAGGCCATCAAGGCGCTCAAGGAGGAGGGCATCTACACGATCCTGATCAACCCCAACATTGCGACGATCCAGACCTCCAAGGGTCTCGCCGACAAGGTCTACTTCCTCCCCGTCACGCCCGAGTTTGTGCGCAAGGTCATCAAGCACGAGAAGCCCGACGGCATCTACTGCACGTTTGGTGGACAGACTGCGCTCAACGTCGGTATCCAGCTCAAGGACGAGTTTGAGTCTCTCGGCGTCAAGGTTCTCGGTACCCCCATCGACACGGTCATCACGACCGAGGACCGTGACCTGTTCGCCAAGGCCATGGAGGAGATTGGCGAAAAGTGCGCCGACTCGTCGTCGGCCAACAACCTCCAGGAGGCGATCGACGCCGCCAACCGCATCGGCTACCCGCTCATCGTCCGTGCCGCCTACGCCCTCGGCGGTCTCGGCTCTGGTTTCGCCACGAACGAGGAGGAGCTTGTCGAGCTCTGCAACAAGGCATTCGCCACCTCGCCCCAGGTCCTCGTCGAGAGGTCGATGAAGGGCTGGAAGGAGGTCGAGTACGAGGTTGTCCGCGACTGCATGGACAACTGTATCACCGTGTGTAACATGGAGAACTTTGACCCGCTCGGTATCCACACCGGTGACTCGATCGTCGTTGCGCCGTCGCAGACCCTGTCCGACGCCGACTACAACATGCTCCGCACCACGGCCGTCAATGTCATTCGCCACCTCGGCGTCGTCGGAGAGTGCAACATTCAGTACGCCCTGAACCCCTTCTCCAAGGAGTACTGCATCATCGAGGTCAACGCGCGTCTCTCGCGTTCGTCCGCCCTCGCGTCCAAGGCGACCGGCTACCCGCTCGCGTTTATCGCCGCCAAGCTCGGTCTGAACATTCCCCTCAACGAGATTCGCAACTCGGTCACGAAGAAGACGACTGCCTGTTTCGAGCCCTCGCTTGACTACTGCGTCGTCAAGATTCCCCGCTGGGATCTGAAAAAGTTCAACCGCGTCTCGACCGCCCTCTCGTCCTCGATGAAGTCGGTCGGAGAGGTCATGGCTATCGGCCGTACCTTTGAGGAGACGATCCAAAAGGCCATCCGCTGCATCGACGACAGCTGGGGCGGCTTTGGCGAGAACATTGAGATTGACGACGTCGACCACGAGCTCGCCAACCCGACCGACAAGCGCCTGTTCGCCATTGCGACCGCCCTGAAGCGCGGCTACTCGGTCGACAAGATTAACCAGCTGTCCAACATTGACCCCTGGTTCCTGCGCCGCCTCGAGCGTCTCTCCAAGACTGAGGGCGTTCTCTCCAAGTACAACGCCTCGACGATCCCCCGCGAGCTCCTCCGTAACGCGAAGCAGCTCGGCTTCTCGGACCGCCAGATTGCGTCTGCCATCAACTCGACCGAGCTCGCCGTCCGCGGCCTCCGTCTCGAGGCCGGCATGATGCCGTTTGTCAAGCAGATTGACACGGTCGCCGCCGAGTTCCCGGCGTTCACCAACTACCTGTACACGACGTACAACGCTTCCGAGCACGATGTCGACTTTAACGACAACGGTGTCATGGTCCTTGGTTCCGGTGTGTACCGCATTGGATCCTCGGTCGAGTTCGACTGGTGCGCCGTCCGCGCGATCCGCACGATCCGCGAGAACGGCTTCAAGACGGTCATGATCAACTACAACCCCGAGACCGTGTCGACCGACTATGACGAGGCCGACAAGCTCTACTTTGAGAACATTTCGCTCGAGACTGTGCTCGACATTTACGATCTCGAGCACTCGGCCGGTGTCGTCCTGTCCATGGGTGGCCAGACCCCGAATAACATTGCGCTCGCGCTCCACCGCCAGAACGTCAAGATTTTCGGTACCTCGCCCGAGATGATTGACAATGCCGAGAACCGCTACAAGTTTTCGCGTATGCTCGACAAGATTGACGTCGACCAGCCGCTCTGGAAGGAGCTGACCTCGTTCTCCGAGGCCAAGTCGTTCTGCGACAATGTCGGCTACCCCGTGCTTGTCCGTCCGTCGTACGTTCTCTCCGGTGCCGCGATGAACGTCGTCTTCTCCGAGGACGACCTCCAGTCGTACCTCGGCCAGGCTGCCGAGGTCTCGCGCGACCACCCCGTCGTCATCTCCAAGTACATTGAGGACGCCAAGGAGATTGAGATGGACGCCGTTGCCAAGGACGGCAAGATGGTCATGCACTATATCTCGGAGCACGTCGAGAACGCTGGTGTCCACTCTGGTGACGCCACGCTCGTCCTGCCCCCGCAGGACCTCGACCCCGAGACGATCCGCAAGATTGAGGTCGCGACCCAGAAGATTGGCCAGGCCCTCAACGTCACTGGTCCGTACAACATTCAGTTCATCGCCAAGAACAACGAGATCAAGGTCATCGAGTGCAACCTTCGTGCCGCTCGTTCGTTCCCCTTCGTGTCCAAGGTCACGGGCGTCGACGCCATTGAGATTGCGACCAAGGTCATGCTCGGCCTCCCCGTCACGCCCTACCCCGACGTCAAGATGCCTCCCAACTATGTCGGTGTCAAGGTCCCGCAGTTCTCCTTCTCGCGTCTGTCTGGTGCCGACCCCATTCTCGGTGTCGAGATGGCCTCGACCGGAGAGGTCGCCTGCTTCGGCAAGGACCGCTACGACGCCTACCTGAAGGCGCTCATCTCGACTGGCATTCGCCCGCCCAAGAAGAATGTGCTGCTCTCGATCGGTTCCTTCAAGGAGAAGCTCGAGATGCTCCCTTCGGTGCACAAGCTGCACCGCATGGGCTACAACCTCTTCGCGACCGCCGGTACCGCCGACTTTATCCAGGAGCACGGCATCCCCGTCAAGTACCTCGAGGCGCTCGGCGAGGACGACGAGAGCGACCCCCAGAAGGCCGAGTACTCGCTGTCGCAGCACCTCGCCAACAATGTCATTGACCTGTACATCAACCTGCCGTCCAAGAACCGCTACCGCCGCCCGGCCTCGTACATCTCCAAGGGCTACCGCTCGCGTCGTATGGCCGTCGACTTTGCCGTTCCCCTCATCACCAACGTCAAGTGCGCCAAGCTCTTCATCGAGGCCATCATCCGCAAGCCTGCGTTTGACATTTCCAGCGTCGACTACAAGACCTCGCACGAGACCTTTACCTTCCCTGGCCTCGTTTCCGTCCAGTCGTTTGTTCCCGGCGCCGCCGAGCCCAACTCGGACGACTTTAGCGAGGCGACCCAGGCCGCTATCAAGGGTGGCTTCACCATCATCCAGATGGTTCCCCAGGGCCTCAAGTCGACCGTCGAGGACGAGATTTCGCTGCAAAAGGCGCAGCAGAACGCGTCTGGCGCCGCCCACTGCGACTACTTCTTCTCGGTCGCTGCCACCGAGGACAATGCCTCGCGTCTCGGCGACGCCATTGCCGCCGGTGCCAAGGCGCTCTTCATCCCGTTCAACAACCTCAGCACCGTCAACAAGGTTGCCTCTGTCGCCCAGCACTTTGCCGCTTGGCCCCAGGACAAGCCCATCGTGACTGACGCCCGCGGCACCGACCTCGCGTCGATTCTCCTGCTCGCGAGCCTGAACAACCGCAACATTCACATTGCCTCTGTCTCCACCCGCGACGACATTACCCTGATCTCGCTCGCCAAGGAGAAGGGTCTCGCTGTTACTTGCGACGTTGCGATCTACGCCCTGTTCTACTCGCAACACGACTACCCCGAGGCCGCCAAGGTTCTTCCCACCCAGGAAGACCAGCAGGCGCTGTGGGACAACCTCGCCAACATTGACGTCTTCTCTGTCGGTGTTCTGCCCTACGAGCTTGGCCAGGCCCTCGGCAAGAAGGTCTCGGCCCGCAGCGGTGTCGAGGAGTCGCTTCCTCTGCTGCTGACCGCGGTCGCGCAGGGCCGCCTGACCCTCGACGACATTTCGACCCGTCTCAGCGAGAACCCCCGCAACATTTTCGACCTGACCGAGCAGCCCCAGACCTACGTCGAGGTTGAGGTCAACCGCCCCTCGCTCTTCGAGGCCGACAGCGACGACTGGTCGCCCCTCGCTGGCCAGGGCGTCCTCGGTGCCGTTCACCGTGTCGTTATCAACAACCACTCGGTTGTTCTTGACGGCAACACATTCTCGATGCCGATGGGCCGCGACGTCTCCATGACTGGCCCCCGCGGCGGCCGCGGCTCGTTCTCGCGCGCCTCGCGCCCCAGCGTGTCGCTGCAGTCGCCGCCCCCCGT